TGGCTCACACCAAACAGCAAGCTATAAAGGGCCCCAAAATGATTAGTGTAAAACAATTCAAACAGGAAAACCAACGGTCTAATCTATATAAAAAAACGAGAAACGAGAAACACCCAAGAACATTCAAAGTTAGGGACGGAAACACTAAGATTAGAAAAGTAATGTTCATGTATGTGCATGAGAAAAAAAAAACAGTTCCCCCACTTCCCCTCACATAAAAAACAACAACAACACACACACACACTAAGAAAAGGAAGAATAGTCGGTGCATAATCATTCTGTTACCAAGAGTTTTTCACATGTATGGTAGTTAGCAGAAAAGTTCCAGTTTCCAAAATACACCAAACTATACATTTTACCTAATAGAATTTAGTGAAGTAAAATGCAAATTTCATAAGGCTTGGTCAAAATAGCTTTTTACTGTCCAATATCTTGCAAGTACGAAAAAGACCGTACGAAAGTATATTTTGTCTACGTTTTTTATTTGCACAACTATTAAAAGTTGACCATGCATTCGTTCTAAAATAAAACGTTACACAAGATAAAAAGTTAAAAGATACTAAGTGAAAAAATTAGACAACCGCAATGGGTTAATCGCTTTGACGTCCGAAAAAGATAATAGCCAACACATTCATTGTACTTTTAAAGCTAGTTATATTAATTTTTATTAGGGATGTCAACTCGGGAAGATTTACTAATTGAGTACTCGTTGGAGTTACCGAGCGATACTCGAGTACTCGCTCGGTAAAACATTTACAAAATGGAAACACAAAATTATACCTATTTTATGTATTGTGGGTCGTTGTCTTAAGAACGTAAAACCCTCAACATTATTACCTAGGACTACATAATAGTCCACGGAATTTTATACCATAATTAATGGCTCATTATACTAATTATGTAAACGGGCAATAATCATATCAAGTAATTAATTAATATCTATAGAAAAATTATTTCTCAAACAACAGTATTTGGGAACCGTAAAAACACATTTAATGATCAACAAAGGGGTGATGATTAGAACTTACTGATGGCATTAATCATTTTCTGAGGGTCGACACAGGGTGCAACAAATATGTTCTTATTTAAAAATATTATTTGTCAACTTTTTCTGGGACGAGGCGACTTCTCAACTTTGTTAGGCAACTAACAGTCCTGCTGATTAAAATATATGTTCTGACGTACCGTCAGAGGTGGTGGAATGACTAAGATTAGCTAAAAAGGTAAGCCTTGGAAAAGTGCTCTTGTTCATATATCTTACCTCTGTTTAGAGTGATTTTAGATGACAGTTAAACGCAAACATTCGAATCGTATTTTAATTTTTATTAATTTGTATTAATATTTAATTTCACGGGAGGCGCTCTCAATAAAAATATTTCTTTTTAAGAATAAGAAAGCAACAATATTCTAACAGGAAACCGATTAGTCGAGTATCATTTTGGTAATCGATACTCGGTACTACCGAGCGATAATCGAGTACTCGAGTACTCGTTGACATCCCTAATTTTTATGTTTAAAGAACATGCGATATCATAAAAATTGTTTATCAAAACATAACAAAAACGCAAGTAAAGAACGTTTAAGTATTCAATATTAATAAAAACACAAAGGTTATTCTTGTACTAGTTTTTCGAATTATTTGATTTAGGCGTTGAGAACCTTTGGTGACCCCACAGTTTAAATGTCTATAATAAATACAACGTGATAAGTGGGCGTTACAGACGAACATTCACCTAATTTAACCCAGTCAATGGGATACTTGATCGCGCCAAAAAATGGTCTCGTCCACATTGTTATGAAAACGATACTATAATGTAGATGAAGCAATCCTTTTTCTAGATTTTTCAAAGGCATTTGATTCTTTGACATGGTAATTAATATATTGTTTTTTAACAAGATTTGACTTTCAAATGTCTTTGCTGAAGAGGATAAAAACTTTATACAGACATAAAAGGTTGGTAATTAGATAATGATTGGATTTCAAGACCCTTGAGCATTATGCGTGTGATCCGACAAGGATGTCCGGTTAGTGCTATAGTTTTCGTCATTGCTGTAGCAATTTTAGCCTGAATATTTTCTGCACCTGAGATCATCCCCAGTTTTTGGTGGGGTTCGTGTTGCTCAGTCTTTAGTTTTCTATGTTGTGTTTTTGTGTACTATTGTTTGTCTGTTGGTCTTTTTTTTTCTTTTTTAACCATGGCGTTGTCAGTTTACTTTTCGACTTATGAGCTTGAATGTCCCTTTGGTATCTTTCGCCTCTCTTTTTCAGACAAAAATGGTTTTCAATTTTTGTTAGATGATAAAACCCAAACTCTTAGGTAAAGTTAGCTTGCCGATGATCCTACTATATTTGTAAAAATCAAAACAAGAAGTTTCACTTATATTAAATATAATCAAAAATGGATACATTGTGACCACAAACGAAATAGAAATAAAACAGAGGGAATATTGCTTAAAAAGCTAAAATTCGTTTAGGAATGATATCCAATATATGCAAGTCTGGTTAAGAATATGAAACATAAAATTATCAGCTAAAATTATACAACAACAACAAAGTTTAAAGGGCTAGATCTTGTGTTGTATCTATGGTGTTCATTGACTTTACAAAAATTGTCTTTCAGATGTTATGGACATTTGCCGTTGTAGATGATATGTACATGTCCCAATCGCAATTGTTTAACTCTGATTTCAATGTTCAGAAAACCGAGGCTTGATAATTCTGATTTTCCAACGCTTGTTCTTGAACCTTATTTGTAAATGAATCGAATAGTTTTGTTTTGGACAATTGGAAGCTTATTTTTTTATTTTTGTAATACACCGGCATACCAGGAGGAGCAGGAATAATCAAATATGATATTGAATAAGAGCCGTTGTAAGCGTTTTTCGGGTTTCTGTGGACAGAAAATTCTCCTTAAGGTACATCACTTTAAGTCTAAAATTAACTATTTTAATGATGGAGTAAACTGTGCTCTCACCGGATAAATTTTGGTCAATTTGTAGGCCTAAATATTTTAGTTAAGGTTGCGACTTTATTACATAATTTTTACATATTACCTCAAAATGTGTTACTTGTTTTATTTTTTGTTCTGGCCCAAGTATATTACATTCTGTTTTGCCTAAATCTAATGAAAGTTTATTGTTAACAAGCCAGTCACTACAAGACTCCATTCCATTCCTAGCTTTGGTGATATAACATCGGGATCTTTATGTGGAAACATTATGGTGCTGTCAACGGCATATAGCAAGAGTTCTCTACCCGAATCGTATATAAATTTCCGGGCTCGGTAAACAACATCACCGTGAAATTTAGGATATGCTATTCCGTCTGAAATAATTTTTTTACATCTCTAACCCCAATATGTCTTAATTTTTTTACAGAGTAGTTTGTGGTCGACAGTGTCAAGGTCTGTCATGACCAATCCCGTAAATAATCCCATTGATATTTCCGATTTTATGTGGTCAATCGATGGGTAAAGCACGTATAGGTAGAGTAAGAGCTCCTGAAAACGGACTGAAATCGATATAACAAATCATTTTTAAGCAAGTGTGTCTCCATTTTTTTTTCTTCAAGAATTTGGGATATTATGCAGAGAATACTAACGGGTCTATAGTTTCCTATTTTCTTTCTAATATTCTTTTTGTAAGGAGGTTTGATTCTAGCTCGCTTTAATTCATTTAGCACTATTCCAGCTTGGAAATTTGGAGTCGTGTAGAGACAAGACATTTTTACCACGTCTTAGATTGTGATTTAACATCTATGTCGTCTGTCTGCTAAGTACCAAAACGTGACCTATTCTCAAATAGGACTGTTATACCGAGAGTGAATTTACGTTGCTATACGACGTGTCTCGGTATTTGTACATCCAACATTCATGTATTTATTTTTGATGTTTTTGTTATGGTTCCGGTTGAATAATGTGTTATGTCGTATCGTTTTTTGTCCAAATAATTATGAAATTATACCATCATTGTCATATTCCCGAATATGACTGTTATACTGAATGTGAATTTGCATTGCTGTGCGGCGTTTCTCGATGTTTTGTACATCCAACATTAATGGATTTATTTTGATGTTTCTGTTATGGTTTCGGTTGGATAATCTGTTATGTCTTATCGTTTGTAGTCCAAATAATTATAAAATTGTTTTTCCATACCATCATTGTCATGAAAATTGTTTGAACGAATATTGTGAAAATAATTGTATAATGTTCGAGATTGCATGTTAGTTACGTAAGCGCCTCACTGTTTTTGATATCCTGTGGTGTTTTTCGTTGATGGTATATGTTCGTTGTTCTGTGGTTTGCATGTTGTATCGACTATTATATTATTTGTTTGTGCGTTTCTCTGTTATGAATGTTCTTGTGTGTGTTTGTGCTGTATTTCTGTCACGTAGTGTTTTAGCGATATTTTTTAACATTGTCATAAAGCGGGAGGTTTGGCATGCCATGAAACAAGGTTCAACCCACCATTTTTCTTAAAATGTCCTGTACCAAGTCAGGAATATGGCAGTTGTTATCAAATAGTTCGTTTCTGTGTGTGTTGGCGTTTGTTTTTGTTGCACTTCGGTGTTCCTGTTGTTCCTTTGTTTTCCTCTTATAGTTGATGTGTTTCCCTTGGTTTTGGTTTGTAACCCGGATTCGTTTTCTCTCAATCTATTTATGACTTTTGAACACCGGTATACTACTGTTGCCTTTATTTAGGTGGACAGAACGAACAATAAAGGCGTTGGGCATATACTTTGGACCTTATAAAATGAATGTAAAAATAAAAATCTGCAACGAAAATACGAGAAATAGGAAAAAGTAATTAACGATTGGAATGAAATATCTTAACAATGATAGGAAAGATAACTGGATAGGAAAACTCATTGGTAATGATGACTCATCACCTAATAGGAAAGTGACACAAAATGTTTACTTTTATGAATATGGACAAGAATTTCCAATATTCAAAATGAGTTTTGACAATATTAATTTAATCAATAAACTAAAAGAGGATGTTCCCCAATTTTGTTTATAAAGTAATCAAAAGCAGGATAAATTCGAAATCTGAAAAAAGAAGTAAATCACGTATCATATTCGACGTCAACTCCTTTTGGAGAAATACATACATCAACATAAATGGAAAATGGAAAATGTCATATTTTCAATAATTGAATGAAAAGTAAGGTTTACTTGTTAATTATATAGTTGATCATAAATGGAATATTATTCAAAATGTGATATAAGATAAATAATCTTCGCATGCTATTTAAATTTCTGAATAATCTAATATATTTAAAACAATACTCAAACAGTGGTGTAATGAGCTAACGAAAGAAGAATCAATAAAAACAAAAGTTGCTACGGATTCTCAGTTTAAATTTCAAGATCGGGAAGAAAAGGTACCAAACGACATTTATCTTTCCCTCTTGAACAGATATTGTGAGAAAGCAGTAGGGTTTGAAAAATGGGACATGCAGATTAATTAAGACGATCACCAAAGAAAATAGAACAACTGGTTTATATCATTTGAACTATTTACAAGAAAATAAATTGTACATTACATATTACCTTCCTAGCAAATACTATTCCTCGGAAAATAACGAAGAGCCCTTCATGTCATATGTGTAATGTTATTGACGATCATACACAATGCTGTGTAACATGCACATATCTGAAATTATTTTGGGAAAAATAAAACTGGTACTTGATAAAACTAGAAAAGGACATCATATTATATCAGTCAATACAATTTTGTATGGATTCAAGATATATGATAAACATTATTATGGTATAAACGTGTTTCTTACCTTTTACTTTTTATTTTGTATAAAGTCTATTTTATGTCCAAACAGAAAAAAAATAGATGCATTTGAAATTTAAGAAAATAAGAATTTTCTCAGCATTATGAAATAAAAGAATGTAAACAAGACAAATATGACATCATTACTGGATTGGTTACAGAAACAATTTACTTTATTTTCTAAATTATATGTAGATATAATGGTCATTGGGTTTGTTTTTTTTAAGAAACTGACTCAGAATATACAATATAAATAAATGATCCTTCTTTGTTATTACAATAACTAGAATAGGATAGTTATAAACTTAAATGTACTAATAATGTATAAGAATTTTATCACGCAATTGTTTACGAGACAGGGTTGATTATCGGTATTTTATGTGTCTCTAGCACATACATAATTTGATAAAAAAAATTATATGATTAAAAAAAAAAGAGAAGATCAGATATAATATACATTATTTCGAAATCCATTGATTTTCATAGCAGTAGGAAACACAAATCATAGTGTGTTTTCCGTACCGATAGCCGCTTATAGGTTGAGAATCGAAAAGTATGAAGAGACAATACATAAACTGCTTCGATGGGCATCTAAACCAAAATGGTCAAACAGGTAAACGTATCTTAATGCACCTAAGGGAGCTGCACCCTCGGTTATAATAGAATTTCATAATTTATAAACTTTTTAAAGTGACAAAAATGTCGTCACAACCCTGAAGCAATGGCTACAGAGTTGTTGATATCATCGGATATTTAAAATCACATCAGCGGTTTTAAGCTTGGGTAAGCCTTATTGAAAAGGGACGTTCATAAATATGCGACCAACAGTAGATATGTAGTGTTACTTTATATTTGGTACAAATGTCTATAAAACTTGTGCTGCTCAGAATAATACCATGACTTGATTGCACTTTCATTTTTTTGCACGAAATATCACATAAAAGCTCATTCGGTTCATAAATACAAGCTATAATATCCAGTCTGAAATCATGCATGATCGTAAATAGTAGTTGAATCTCTATTCGATTTTGCATTGGCAATAACTGACTTTATATTTAATTCACATTGATTGTAGACGCCATCGTTCTCAGTTTGTAAGCTTTGTTTGATAACGACAGGGTCTGCATGGTCGTAGATATTTACATCTTCAACTGATTTAGGAGAAATGTTAGCGGAACTCGTGTGGTCGTAAACCTCTTCTGTTTCCTGTCTTATAACAGACATACTATCATAATCTTTATCTTTAATTACTGCACATCTCTCTTTAGAGCTACTGTCATTGTAAACGTTTTCATGATCTGAAATATAGATAGTTCAATCAGATGCAAAATAAATTCAAGACAAAAAGTTCAAAATTCAAAAATGCTATCTCCTTAAAACGAGACTTACCAGCCTCTTCATTACTTGGGGCACTATGGTTCAGTCCTGTTTCCTCGGTTGATATTTCTGTCCTTGTTGGTGATTTGTTTTTATATTTTCTGTGGAGATATAAAAACTGATCGTTAAAATTGCCTTTAATTATTCGAAAGTAAAATTCTAATATTCCCTTTGCTTTCATCAAATGAAGTTATAAGTTATTTTAAATTACATAATCGGATCATCCTTATTACACCAAATTGCTTCATCTCATCGGGAAAATATTACCTTCTGACCATTATATCTATTGGTAAATTACATACTAGGATTGTTGACTTTTAAAATATGAAAACAAAAATAGATAGAAACAACCACTCGTCGAGGCTATATTTTTGTATCATCCTTTATATGATAAATTAAGAAGATAACAAGGACTAACTGAATCACATTTTATCTTTTTTAAACTGTTACGACATTTGTAATAACTGAATTATGAAGGTAATTGTAAAATAAGCAAATACAAGTAACCTTACACTATAACCAAAGCAATGGTTATGATTATTCCAATTAAACCAAAACAGCCAGCTATAATCTCCCATGGAATGCGTGAAACTTGTTCTTCTTTGTCTATAATATACATGACGATACTATTAAATATCAAAATATTCTTTGGATTTCAATTTTATCTAGCACACCAATGATTACATTGATGTCGTTGTATACACCCTAGTTGTCTTTAAAATCAATAAAACATACATTCTTACATGAATTTATATTATTTCACGTATTATACTCAAGCTGAAGCTTTTCTTCGTAAGGGAAGGTTGACTTTAGAGGAATTTGGTCCATTTAAGTCCTTTTGGTTTTATGTTCAACAACATTTCTTTCAATTTATTTTTATTTTCAATTTTTTTTGTCATGAGCGTACCCAATGAATATTATTCCAGAAACAATTGTGCTGCATGGAAATTATATTATGAATCGAAGTTTCATTGAAGATACGTCATAGGAACATTTCTTATAAAAAAATCTTATTAATAAATATGATTAAATAAACTCATCATAGAAACCAGAATTCAAATATTCTACGCCAGACGCGCGTTTCGTCTACAAAAGACTCATCAGTGACGCTCGAATCATTAAAGGTTAAAAAGGCCAAATAAAGTAATAAAGTTAAAGAGCATTGAGGACAAAAAATTCCGAAATGTGTTGTCAAATACAGTTAAGGGAATCTATTTCTGGGGTGGAAAATCCTTAGTATTTCGAAAAATTCAAAATTTTATAAATCTAATGTAATATCTAACACTGTTTATATCTTTCTTTTTTTAAATGAACCCCTCTATGAAGAACCAAGCACAAAACATTCTAAATCTGTATTAAAATCTTGTTATTTATTCATTACATTATTTGCGAAGTCTTATCATATGTGTTCAGCAACTGAACAAATAAAAAGTTTGAGGATAAAGGTGTAATACCACCATTGATTTTCCCCTATTAGTCTTTGTTAAATTTGCACTCTTCAAAAAATTGTGCAGAATTTATCTTTGTTTCAAATAAAGAAATACTTGGCATGAGTAAAGTTTTATCCTGTACAGTACTATAGAAAAAATTTCACACAACATTTCATTGCATATAAGAAAATAACCATCACTGGAAGTTAACCAATCAAATTTCCCCCCTTTTTTAACCTGTCTACAAGCTTTAGTAACCATGTTACCTCAAGTTTCCAAAATATTCTATAGAAACCCCAAATAAAAAAATAATGGTGCTTTGAAATACCCAAGATATATGTTTATGACCCAGAAATGTTTTACTGCAATGAAATGTAGGATCAATTACCTACAACTGTCAAATTCAAGGGAACATTTTTTTTCGACCTATTTTCGTATGCAACCGGATGTGACGTACTATGATTTAGTGGTATTTCACCTTAACGACAACTTATATTAGCGTAGAAGCAAAACAACTAAGTGAATTGCTTGACTGGAATAAACAAAAAACATATTATGACTTTGTAAATATAAATATGTCTAACATTTTTAATATGCAGATTTTACTAACTTCTCACATTTAAAATGCCTGTACCAAGTCAGGAATATGGCAGTTGTATTTCACTTGTTCCGTTGATTGATAGCGTTTGATTATGTCAGTTTTTACGGACTTCCCCTTTTTGAGTTTGCCTTGGAGTTCAGTATTTTTGTTATACTTTTTTCAAATTTTCCTACCTGTTTTAAACCCTCGGGAATTTCTGTTAGTAATGCATTGTAAAATCCCTACACTAAAACCTCTATACAATAATTCTTTCAATCATTTAAAAAGATCCTGGTTGCTGGTCAAAGATTTTAAATGCATTGCCTAGAAAAAAAGCCAGAAGGATGCACGATTGAAGAAAATTTCAAAATGCACGCACCAAAACATCAATTGTTGGTTTTATTCTTGTAGTGATGTATCAGACCTGAATGAATATAATATTTTCCTAGCTCAAACACTTTTAAAACAGATATATAAATATCATAAGTTGGTCAGAACTTTTATTAAATTTTATCTTCAGTATATATATATCTATTGCTGAAGTATGGTCTAACCAGCAAGAATTTAATATAAAGTGGTTATTTAAAGCTAGTTCTTCCAGCATCATCATTTAAGCTAACAAGACTCTGAATTATCCTTTACATCTTTTATGATTGAATAGATTTGTTTAAAGAGGTTATAAGTATATTGTTGTTGTTCATCTAGTTTAAAGTGATAAATATATTTTAAATAAATCAGCCAGCAATCGTTGCACAAATCTTTATAGACTTTAAGATATATAAACTTTCAACAGTGAATTATAGTAGAAAAAAAAGAGGGACGAAAGATACCAGAGGGACAGTCAAACTCATAGATCGAAAACAAACTGACAACGCCATGGCCAAAAATAAAAAGACAAACAGACAAATAATAGTACAGATGGCACAACATAGAAAACTAAAGACTAAGCAACACGAACCCCACCAAAAACTGGGGGTGATCTCAGGTGCTCCGGAAGGGTAAGCAGATCCTGCTCCACATGTGGCACCCGTCGTGTTGCTTATGTTATTACAAATCCGGTAAATAGTCTAATTCGGTAAGTCACATTCGTGAAAAGGAAAGGGTATTGTAGTTACGACATAAGGAACATATTCGATATAGAAGTTAGTAGCAGTGGGCGGAATAACGTTATGGTAAATTCAGAAAAGCGCTTTAGACGCATGAAGTGCTATTTCATCTACTGCAATCGTATATTTTTATACCTATGTGCCTTATCTTATTTGTTTTATACTTCTGAATTACAAATGCATTTGTATTCTCATTTTTTTTCGTCTGCCCCATTGTAAAGTTACTAAAGCGGGAATAACGAAAAAGATTCATGGCGATTTCCAGGACATATTTCGATATCTTCGCTTTAGCTGAATGTTGACGGGTGTCTTATTAGTTGGCAGTGTACGGGCATACACATTTAATGTCTTGTCTGTTTTACTTATGAAATCATTTCCACACTCTTAACATTAAATAACATAAATTACAGTTGTCAGATGCACATGTGAAATTTCTTTTAACAAGAAAATGCTATCCTTTATAAAACATAACTTCTGTGCTTTCTCTTAAAGTGATGCAAATTCCGCAGTTTAAGCGTCAGCATTTTTGAAAGCTGCATATTAGATAGTAATTACGCAATGTTGGTACGTTGTCCCTTACTTTTGATAGTTGTGAAGTTTTCGAGTACATGTCGCATTTTATCATCTTTTTGCGACATTCGGATATGTCGGTGTATGACATTAAAGGCCTCACTATTTCTTGGATTATGTGTTGACGTACGGTAAGAAATTTTCATTTTCTGCAGTTCTTGGTGTCCTTGAATCGACTTTGCCTATTGCTTGTTGCCATTTGATTTTTCCATTTTCTATGAAGGGTATCTGGTAAACTCTCTCCACAAGTAGTTCGTTAAATTATTTAAGTATAAGTTCTCTGGTATTATTGGTAGATACAGTAAGCCAGAATAGGAAATTGTTTTGAATCCGACGGTTTATAGTATATATTTTTTTTCAATTTTACAGTCATCATTTATTGTTAAATTATCTTAAAAAAAATTAGTTCTTTATCACTATATATCATCGTGAACTGGATATTGTTATTTATGCTGTTTATAAGAGCTTTGAAATTCTGTATTTTTTAATATCCGCATTCCATAGAACAAATCAATCATCCCAAAAACGTTTCCAATTGGGTTTTTTTTGTGTATTCATGTTATGCATTTCAGACGTTTTGTTATGCCTTTTTCCTAGATTTCAAGTTCAAAATATACCATCAAAAGATTAGAATACAGAGATTCTACCTTGGTTCCCATTGCCGTTCCTTGTGTTTGCCGATAAAAACTATTATATGCGGTAAGACAATTTTATTGTTACAATGTTCTAGCTAATATTATATTGCTTTGATTCTTTATTCATATAATGTATTAGTATTACCACGTCGAACAAAATTATGATTACGTTCGTCCACATTTTCTTGGAGGTGGTTGTGCGTATCAATATCGTCTTTGACATAACTTATGATATGCTTTAGAAATAGTTTCAGCAAAGAAAATACCTTTATTAATGTGTTTCAAATAAACTCATCATAAATACCAGAATTGCAATTTTGCACGCCAGACGCGCGTTGTGTGTGACGCTCAAATCGAAACAATTAAAAATACCAAACAAAGTACGATGTTAAAGAGCATTGAGGATCCAAATTCTAAAAACTTAGTTAATCTATTCCCGGGGTTGAAAATTTTTAGTATTTCGTAAAATTTTAAGTTTTGAAAACAGTTAATTTATAATTATGACCATATCAGTGATAATTCATGTCAACACAGAAGTGTTGTCTACTGGGCTGGTGATACCCTCGGGGTGAAAAACTCTACCAACAGTGGCATCGACCCAGCGGTTGTAAATGCACTCATCATAGATACCAGAATCAAAATGTTGTACTCCAGACGCGAGTTTCGTCTACAAAAGACTCATCAGTGACGCTCGAATAAAAAAAAAGTTAAAAAGTCCAAACAATGTACGAAGTTGAAGAGCACTCGAGGACCCAAAATTCCTACTAGTTTTGCCAAATACTGCTAAGGTCATCTATTCCTGGGGTAGAAAATCTTTAGTATTTCGAAAAATTCAAAGTTTGTTTCAAAAGAAGAAATCGTTACAATTGGTTGTAATAGAAAATCTGGAGGTGAAAAAATGTTGATAAAATTTCGGGTATATTTTTTTACATGCATCACTTATAATTTTGCATTTCTGTACTTTTCGAAGTCCATTAAGGTTACTGATTTTGTATTTTGAAATTGGTCAAATAATCTAGTTCTTTATTGGTAAGTACTTTGCGATATATATGTATCAAAACTTTTAATTTTTTGAACAATGTTTACATGTGTATACTTCTTGATTTCTTCGTTATTTTATTTGTATTGATGTGATTCAGCATAGAGAAGACAAAACAACAAATGCAATATTTGTTTCCTTTATACTTATATGTTTGTCTTTGATCGATGCCAAAAACTAAATTATTATGCTTTCGTTGGTCGTTTGATTCGAATGTTGGTTTTTGCATACTTTTATATGGGAAAGTTTCATTATGTTCACAAAATGTGTCTAGTATTTCTGTGTTCCCTTTTGACGGAGTATAATAACTTTTGTTTCTGACAATATATTCATCATTACTTTTTATGTCAAAATTATTCCGCTAATAAATCATCTTTAATTTCATTGAAATTCGAATAGTATGGTATAGGTGTTCATTTAATGCCTTTTTCGAGTAATTCCAAATCTCCTGTAGAATAAATGGTATTTTAGAATGAATGATTACCTTCAACAATTGTGTTGGGGCTAAAACAATTTGTTCCGCATTTTTTTTTTTTTTTGTAATCGTTTTCAATTTTGCTTATTTTTTCAAAATGTTTGTTTTGTATAGTAGATCGGTTTTTTTTGTATACGTTATTTATAAATTTTCTACCTTTATGAAATAATAACCTCTTGCTGAAATTTGATTTATTTTCATTTGTGGTTTTATTGCCATATCTCGGTTGTAATATCTAACTCTTGATATACTTTTTTCTCTGAATAGATCTAGTATTTTCTTTCTGAAATTCCCATTTGTTTTGGGGTAGTTTCAACTTTGGCTATGAAGTTTTAACACTGTGTTTTCCTCTATTATTAGTTAGTAGCTTTGGTATATGTTTTTGTTTCTCTGATGAGCCTTTTGTAGACGAAACGCGGGTCGGGTAAACCAAATTTATAAGCCTCTTTACTGAGATTTGGTTTTCTTCTTTTATTTCTTTTCATACAATTTTCCAATACATCCTTATGAAGATATGATGTGAGGAATTATTTTCCCGCCAACAATGGTTTTTTAAAAGATTTTACCGAAAACGAGAATATCATATTTTTTTTCTTACTTTGATAATTACATTTTATCAAATGAAAAATCTTAAAACGTATTTACGTATTGTTACATTGAATATTGGTAGCAAACATACTTAAAACAAAAGTTTGTATATATTATGATGAACTTGCATTCAAACCCTCATATTAGGTTTACGGTCTTTAATTTAGTTAAATGGAGTTCGGTATTTTTGTTATACTATTTAGTATGCCAGACGCGCGTTTCATCTACAAAATACTCACCAGAGGCATCCGAATGAAAGCAGTTGGAGGGTAAAATGTGTTACGAGCATTAAGACCAATATAATAAACAATTGTTCCAATTCTGGCTAATGCCATCTTTGCCTGTGCGTTGAAAAACCTTAGTATTTCGAATTATTTAAAATGTTATGAAAAAAAACTTGCAGAAAATGACCATATCAGATATTTCATGTCAAAACAGGAGTGCTGTCTACTGGACAGGTTATACTCTCGGGTACAACACGTCCATCAATACTCTATGACAAAATATAAGGATAATTATTACCATTATCGTTTATCATATTAGTCGGGGTTGTTGAGCTATTATAATGTGTATTTTTAGCAAGATCCGCACTATCAGTGGTTTCCAAACATAATACAGGTAAAATATTGTCACAGTGTTCTATTACATGCTCTCCAATGGTATTGTTTTCCGAAATATAAGCCGCCACACAATGAAATGGGGGATCTTCTGGTGCATCTATTGGTATATAATATAAATAAAATATTAACATGTAAAACATTGCTATTATGATTTATATTTTACTTTCAGTAACGTGCATTTCAAATATGTTTAAGTAAATATTGATACGTTCCCGAGGTTTTTTTATCAATTCGTTCATTTGTTTAAATAATAAGTTCAATTCCTCTAGTTTCTTTTTTACAAAAAAAACCCAACCTTTCCGCAAAAAAGAAAAAAAACCATTTTCATTGCATTTATATGGGGTTTTATGTTATGTCTATCTATTTTCTAGAACATATTTTAAACATTTATGTCGATGATAATAAAGATTTTAAATACTTCAGAATTCAGGATTCATTTAATAGTTTATAAATTAAAAAAAGAAAAACTTCCCCTCTTAAATCAAGTGTGCTTATTTTTAATAAGATAAATGAGGTGTACTTACCTTTTACAGGAATGAATCTTGCTGCTCTGACTGATGTGGTCCAATAACTTCCATGAATCATATGATGATTATCCGATTGTAAATTTGTAACAGAACTAGGAGATGTGTTTTCACAGAATCTCATACTCTTTCTCCATGACAGTGATCTATTTCCGTGTCCTTTGTTTGTTTTAAAATTTGTTTTATTAGTATCTATTAATTAAAAAATATATATATTATGTATTATAAAACAAAGGTATCAATGTCAAGATGGCTTATGTAAGTACAAGAACTATTATCGTTAATACGGAATCTATATTCTGTAATTAGATAATAACACTTGTTACAATACCATTTGAAGAACCATAGAAACACATGGGGATTCTCTATCACACTGTTGTCTGGTGTAAAATGTTCTTTGATCTACTTTTTAGATAATATGTCAGACCTAGCATTAGTAAACCGAAGTAATACAAAGTACTTCATTGCCTTAAATTTGTATTGTTTTCTTAGATACCGGATTGGTAGTATTGTATTATCTGTTTCTATAATACACTCACAAGGAGTTGTTCAAATATCACTTGAACTGTTCGTTTATAAAATTAGAAATTATAAAGAATCAAACGTTTAAAATCTCTCAGGTAAAGTTGACCTTAGATGGATTTGGCTTTTTCTTTAGGTCCCATTTTGGTATTTTGTTCAACTGCTTCAGTTCTTATACATACTTAGCTTTCAAATAGTTGGCTTTGAGCGTTTCTGGTAAATCCAGAAAAGCGCTTCGCACGCATGAAATTAATAAAGTGTAGTTTTCATTTTTTTTTCAACACAGATCTATAAATAGATTGTATATTACGAAAGCTACCTTTGTCTGGCTATTGTGATGTCAGATAATACATATCAGAACATCCGGGTTACCACGATTAAGTTGTGTATAACAAAGTAATTTTAAGGTATGTGGAGGTCATTTACAATACCTTCTGAAAACTTTAAATAAATTATGGAAATTTCAGCTTGTTAAACATTATGCGCTAATTTTTAAACTTACAGTTCATTTTAATTAAGATTATATTATTTACAGCATATTATTTACAGCATAGTTACAATCAAATATTTTCTTTTTCTATCCTTTTGAATAAATTTTAGATACACAGGAACGAATCTTTTTTCTCTGGTCTGCATGTTTTTAGCGTATGTGTTTTAAAAATGTCATGAACGATAAAAGAAAATATGAAAACTAATCTAATATTACAGTTTAGATTGAATATTTTTAGTTTGCATTTGTCTTAGATAAACTCATCATAGATACCAGGCTTAATATTTTGTGCGCCAGATGCGCGTTCCGTCTACATATGACTCACCAGTGCCGCTTGAATAAGAAAAGGAATCATTCTTATACAGGTAAAAACGATGATAAACATACTTTTAACTTACAATATGAAATCAAACACCTAGAAAAAATCCAATTGAACGTGGCCGGTATCTGTTTATATTTAAATTTATGTTTATATCAGGTTATATGACCGTCGGCAGTCTTTGGAGGTCATCTCGATAGTTAATTAGATGACGTCTAGACAAAAATACACACGGAATGTTGATACATATCATTGAGTCTATGCATTGTTAATTGTTTATTTTAGACTTTTCGTAATTTGAATATACGTTTTAGTATGTTATAAATCAAATATGAGAATTGGAGTCAAATCGGTGAACATGAATTTGACAGCTAATGCCTATTTAAAACTTTGACGTTAAATCTGGAACGAACTACAAATGTTAGGTCCATTAGGGACACAAATCATCACACAAAAGCTTTGTAGTTTCATACGTGTCAAGATTTAAAAGCGTAAAGCAAGTCTTTTACGTACAACAAACTGGATGACTGGTATCGGAACATCTTTTGCTTCCAAATGAAACGTCATCGTAAAAATTAAATACACCACACTGTTCAATATAACTGTTATTTACAGGAAAAGTGCCTACAACATAAATTGAAATAGAGAAGTAACACTGTAATAGATGATGACTACCAATACACCGATAAAATATAGTAATGCCTGTTTCACGTACGTAATCAAATGAAAGTTTAGTACCGTGACAGAAAACTTTATTATGCGACTGTTTTAAACATGCGTAAACTAAGAAGACCTATTTTCGAATCTCACATCAATCGATAAAGAAGAGACAAATCAAGGCAACTAACAAATATTGAGGGAATCGCACGAACTCCAAAAGGGGTGAGACTGGGTGCTCTAAGAGAATAAGCGTTTCCTGCTATGCATGCATCACCCGTCATGCGAATCAAAATTCAGTATAAATGTCAAAACTGCACATTGTTGTCAATATAATGGAAATTTTGCGACTGTCATTCAAGTGAGAGGTTTAGCTAGCTATAAAACCAGGTTAAATCCACCATTTTCTACATAAGGAAATGCCTGTACCAAGTCAGGAATATGACAGTTGTTTTCTATTCGTTTGATGTGTTTGAGCATTTAATTTTGCCATTTGATAAGGGACTTTCCTTTTTGAATTTTCCTTGGAGTTCGGTATTTTTTTTATTTAACTTTTGGGAATAGGACACAAGCGGTTAATTACAGATCCTACGACTTTACTGATGTTGAAATATCATAGGACGCGAAACCTGTGAGTTGAAACACTGACACAGCGTACGTGTCGGTCAACCAGTTCGTGATGGTGATCGTTAAACTTATGTAATGCCGATTTTATTCGTTCTTCCTCATAACTCTATTGAATATGAATATGTCAGTTGTTTTCCATTCGTTTGATGTGTTTGATCTTTTGAGGAATCTGACAGTTGTTTTCCATTCGTTTGATGTGTTTGAGCTTTTGATTTTGCCATTTGATAAGGGACTTTCCGTCTGAATTTTCCTTGGAGTTCGGTATTTTTGTTATTTTACTTTGTTTTTTGGAGAGGTTTTGTGTAAGGAGCACATCCATGTTAACGAATATCGCTGTGTGAACATGCACGAGCGTAACGTATAAACTGAGATATGTAAACGCAATTCGGCGGTGCAGAGGGTATGTTACTTCTGATGAATGGGAAGTTGAAATTAAGAAGTAACACTTTAATAGATGAAGAGTTAAACTACCAAAACATCGATAAAATATAGCAATGCCTGTATAAATGATGACTGGAAATATAAGTTTTTCAAAAATTCAACTTTAAAGTCGTGCGTCTATGTCAATATTATCAATATATAATGAAATTAAACAACTAACTTTGAAGATGTTTTTTTTTTCGTTTAAGTCTTTAAGAAGGTTAATTCTGTATGAATTTTGCCTCATATGAGTAGAAAAACAAATCGGCCAGTAGTGTTGCAAAACTCGTACCCATCGGAATACCGACTGTCTGCTGTGAATGTACATATAACAGATTAGATGTATCAATAAAGATATCATTGTAAAACTATGTATGTTTTTGTCATGAAATTTGTCGTCCGTTTGAATGTAAGTGAAACATGTTTTACGTCTATAACACCTTTTTCCTATGTAAAATGAACTTTTTTCGTCTGTAATACGTCTGATATTATACCAAGAATTTTAAAAATGCATTGTTTGTGGACTTTTTGAACGAACGTCCGTAAAATGAACTTTGCTATTTTTCTGTGTATACAAGTTGTTCCATTGCTGTATGTTTGTCAAGTGTGTGTAATGATGAAAGTCATGCATTAATACTGTATATCCTTTCTTTTCCATTTTTATTTCTCAAAAAAGAATGTTAACCAGTATCTTGCTTTGGGTATACGTAGGAACACAATTTTACTTTTACGTTAAACCAAATAGTTGACTAAATGCTCAAATTTTATATTGTCATCATATTTATAATGTTAGCCAATCAGGTCTTAGTGGGCTGTAGATTCACATACATTATTTCCTGTAATACTGAGCATTGACTTAGAATACATTTTCAGCGAAACATTTTTTTTATTGAAATGAAAGTCAGCACTGATGATTAAGAGTATGAGGTGTACGTACAATTACGTTCGTATCCAGTTTTACAATTTACTGTAATAGAAGGTTACTTACTATTTAAAGCATATAAAACAACTGTGGGTTTGTTTCGATTATAACAGAGAAATTCTTCACACTTTTTAACGTGCGTACACGAAAATTTTTTTTTCAAGTGTGTCGCAGACAAGCAATAACAAATATGATCTTGTAATCCAATATAGTCCGATGTGTTGCTGCATTTTTGATGACATTCATATAAGCTTAATTCTGAATTATTATTATGTTTTTGGTCCTGTAGATTAATATTCTCCTTTAAACTGCCACATCCTAAATAAAATTAAATACCATGAATATCAAAAGTTTTCAACAAACAAAATATACTATGAAATGTACACCATTTTATTATTTTCATTTACCTGTGTTATTGCAAATGGCTGATATTTTTGTTCAAGCATATTGTTTTTCTTAAATTGTTTAACATTTCACAGCGGTATAACATGTTACTTTAATTATTCTTCCCTTAGTTCATTTATTTTATATTTGCATTGTACCATAGATCAAATTTGTTCAGTGTATGTTCACTGGTGTTAATATGTCTTTTGATTGAGTTAAACCATTTCAATTGATATTTTATAGTGTGTCTTTCTATGTTGTGATGTTACACTATTGTTTCAGATAAGGGTGAAGGTTTGGTACCATTAAAACGTTTAAACCCGCTGCAATTGTTTGCACCTGTCCTAAGTCAGGAATCTGATGTTTAGTAGTTGTCGTTTGTTGATGTGGTTCATAAGTGTTTCTCGTTTCTCTTTTTTTTATAATAGATTAGACCGTTGGTTTTCCCGTGAATGGTTTTACACTAGTAATTTTTGGGGCCCTTTATAGCTTGCTGTTCGGTGTGAGCCAAGGCTCCGTGTTAAAGACCGTACTTTGACCTATAATGGTTTACTTTTATAAATTTTGACTTGGATGGAGAGTTGTCTCATTGGCACTCATACCTAATCTTCTTATATCTAACCACACCATAAATTTCAAAATCAGAGCGAAAGAAAAAAATCATCTACTGACATTTAATGTTTTGGTATATTTGGGTTATCGTTCAACTATTGTGCACTTACTATAAGAAATATGTCGTTTGATACAGCTGTTTTCATACGCATTTTCTTTTTATTGCGTTTAACGCACCCAAACAAAGAAAAAAGACTGATTCTCCGTTTCCCTGCATTTATTTCGAACTAAGACCATTTTTTAAAAGCATCCGATCGTCACTTACATTTTCAATCCAGTAACTTTATATGTATACTATGAGGTAACATTTTGTACTAACCACTAAGCTGTGAATGTGATAGAACTGAGTGTCACACCAAAATACATTGTCAACCGAAGTGAGGCAAATGTTGACTGCTGTACCCTAATTTTTGACATTTTTACCTAAATGTCTGTTTGTTTTGCTCGCACATTGTTGTCGATATAATGGAATTCTATGCGACGGTCATACAAGTAAAAGGTTTAACCAACCATTTTCTACATAAGGAAATGCCTGTACCAAGTCAGGAATATGACAGCTGTTTTCCATTGGTTTGATGTGTTTGGAGCTTTTGATTTTGCCATTTGATAAAGGACTTTCCGTTATGAATTTTCTTAAATATGAATATGAATGCGACCTACCAAATTAGACTTATCACCGGGTTTGTACTAACATGAGCAACACGACGGGTGCCGCATATGGTGCCGGATCTGTTTACCCTTTCGGAGCATCTGAGATCATCCTGAGTTTTTGGTGGGGTTCGTGATGCTCAGTCTTTAGTTTTCTATGTTGTGTTTAATGTACTGTTGTTTGTCTGTTTTCTTTTTTCTTTTTTTGCCATAGCGTTTTCAGTTTATTTTCGACTCATGAGTTTGAATGTCCCTATGGTATCTTTCGCCTCTCTTTTAGAGAATAAAAACTGGCATTTTAACATTATGTATTATAACACATAATGTTCAAACGAGGCGAAGCAAAATTAATACTATATGTTATACTTTATGTTCAAATGAGGAAAAGAGGTATTGATAACCCCACGGAACAAACATTGTCAACCTTGGCTTTGACAATTTATCTTGGGTAACAATCAGATATACCGCCCTCTCAATTATGTGGTATTTATAAATATCTTCAGGTATGAAGACAATTCTACCGTATGGTAACAATCGGCCCTATGACCCTGTCAGCTTTGTGATATTCTTCTTGTATTTCTGGACATAATGATTAACCGAATTAAGAGTGCTTTAAGTGACTCAAAACCGCATTTTTTACAAATTTTGCTAATGTGGAGTAAGTATCCAAAAGATTGACAGAACACAACTTTTTTAATTTTCTCAGAAGTAAAGCTATACATTATCTTTCAGATACAAGTATTTATTCTTACTACTAATAATAGTATTATTATTTTTAATACTATTATTCTTATTTAATTCAAAATTTGACAGCGGTAATATATAGTGCTAGTTAACATTAAATTTCAAAACGGTTCATCAACCTTCTTGACCCCAACAGTGAAACAAAATTAGGTGGATAGACTACGTACCAAGTCTCCAAACTGTAATCTTGATTTCTAAAATATCAAACCCTTGCAATAGTGAATCAATCGATTTCTCCTCTTTGCAAAGTACTACTAACAAGTTTTTTTTCAAATTAATATATTTCATATTCTAAATCTGCTTTATTTAATTTTTCTGTGGGATTAGATATATTATTGCATAAAAATAAGAAGCTGTGATTTGATTGCCAATGATACAACTATTAATCACCGAACGGCAGTCAACAGTGAGCAAAATATACCACATAGTAAAGGCTCCCGGCATGACAAAACGTGAAACAATCAAAGAGAAAACCAAAGGCCTGATTTATGTTATAACAACAAACGAAAAACAAATATCACAGATAGCCACCAACGATAACAACTGAATTACAGGCCCCTAACTTGGAATAGGTACATACAAAATATGACGTGGTTAAACTTGTTAAACCCTTTGAGTAAAAACAAACATAATCCTCAACTCTCTCCTAACAAGCTTAAGGGACAAATTGTAAAAAATCGTTTTTGAAATGGCTTGAATCATCAGATCGACATGAAACACACACAAAAAAGTAATGAACAATATCATATAATGCATAAAATCAAAAAACACTACAGATCTGTAAATCCTGTTCTAATGCATCACAAATAGAAATAATGCATTAGAGCTTGGAAAAATGTATAAATTTATAATAAAATAAAATTCTGTGAAATTTTAAGATCATGGCAAAACAAGCTGAAGGTTATTCCGTTACTTGTACGCTTCAAATTCGATTGTATTGCTTTTATGGAATATTTATGGATCCCAGTGAGTGAATATGGTGGCTTACTCCTAAGTTATTAATATTTGGGTTAAGAATTATAAGGATTAAACACATTTTTTCTAGAGGTTACTGATGTGTAAACTGGGTCGCTGAGTCACAAACTTTACATAAAAGTCCTTCGAACCTTTATTCAGCTTGTGAGTTAATCGCCCGAGTTCACACATCAATTACCTCTAGAAAAAAATAGGTTTAATCTTATAAAAAATGAATAATTTTGTATAGAGAATGATTTCCTCATATCACTTCTTTTACAATTGAAATGTATCCATACATACCTTTAAAATCCATCCAGGGTGTATACAATACAATTGCCCCTATCCAAACTAACTCTCTTTTAGTACTTCTTTTTATCATCCGTGGTCTGAGTAACCGGTTTCTATTCAATCCAACAGGTGTACAAATTTGAGAGAGCTGTTTACCACTGGTTTTTGATTTGCTTAACACTGCATTTTCTGGACAAAAAAGTAAAACTCCTCATAATGGATGGTATTTAACATGAGGGTACCCAAATATCACCTATTTTGACATTTTCACCTTCGTTTATTTATGATCCAGACAAAATTTTTCATTCCGGAACAATAGTTAAAACAATTTGACAAAAGTCCATGCTTAATGATTCATTTTTTAAAGAAATGGATGCCTGTAACATATTCCAATTGTTCATTTTTGTGGACGTCGTGTTTTAAGTGCCAGAAAATACGGCAGCTTGACGTAAGTGACGTCACTTGCCCAACTACAACGTCATTCTATATGACGTCATGATCTCTAATGACATTACATTAGAGACCTATTGAAGAAAAATATTGTACTGTTTAATCTTCGATGCGTTATATGAAAGAGATATAGTAATGAACAGATGGTAGCATACATAACCATACGGACATAGTCGTTGTGGACACATGTGTCCCTCCGGCAGCATGAGGGTTAAACACTGACTTTGTAAATAATCTCCTTGCAACAGCTCATATCATTTCTGTGAGAATATTCTATGCTTTTTGTTCCATTATGTTATGCTATAATCTTTCCATCTGAACTTGAAAAGTATGTATCATCTTATGATGAAAAAGAATACATCCAAGAAGAAGAAGGTTGCAAAAACTTTCTTTTTGTCATTCATTAAATTTAGACCATAAACTGTTTATTTATTGTGTCAAGCATATTTCCAAGTTTGTTGCTGACTTGACGCAAAACCCAAGCATTATCGTTCTTACAACATGTTAATTTGTGTCTACACAATTATAATTATATTTTGCTAGTTCTACGGAAAATTGCAGTTGTGCAGACAAGAGCTTCATCAAAACAATCGTTATTCTAATGGTTTACAACAAGTAGGTACGTATAAAGATTAACACCTTACCAGAATCAACACACAACACAAACAAAGTACAGATTAACAACAAAATGGTAAACAAGACCTCCATCTTCATACAAGTAGCAAATATGGAAAAGGGAAGTTTTATAACTAAGTTAAGTGGTTCGACTCAAAATCCGGAAGCTTGCTGAAATTTATGGGTTATATTTCTCAGTGGATGTATTACGAATTTAATTCACAACAGGGTCATTAATAAAAACATTTGTTTGTTGTTTCAGAATTACAGTTTCATGATAACCTATTTATATTGAATTTTTAGCAAAATACTGGTGATTACCTCGGCATTAAACTATATAATAAACGTCTGAAGTTGACTCAAAACTGCCATGTTCATAGATTTTGAAGGAGATATTATATACTTTATAAGATATCTTGTAAAGTTAATAAGATATCTTATAAAGTATATAAGATATCTTATAAAGTTTATTAGATATCTTAGAAATATTTTTTATATAAGATATCTTATAAACTTTATGAGATATATTATACACTTTATGAGATATCTTATATATTATAAGATATCTCATATGATATATAAGATATCCTATATAATCTAGTTTGTATAAGATATATCATATATCATATGAGATATGTGATATATTATATATTATATAAGATATCTTATATAATTTACAAAATATCTTCTAAAGTTTATAAGATATCTTACAAAGTATATAAGATATCTTACAAAGTATATAAGATATCTCATATAGTTTATAAGATATCTCATATAGTTTATAAAATATTTCATATAATTGATAAGATATCTTTTAAAGAAAATTATATGAAATATCTAATGAACTATATAAGGTATCTTATAAACTATATAAGATATCTTATAAACTATATAAGATATCTTATAAACTATATAAGATATCTTATAAACTATATAAGATATCTTATAAACTTTATGAGATATATTATAAACTATATGAGATATCTTATATATTATAAGACATCTCATATACTATATAAGATATCCTATATAATCTAGTTTGTATAAGATATATTATATATTATATAAGATATTTTATATACTTTACAAACTATCTTCTAAAGTTTATAAGATATCTTACAAAGTTTATAAGATATCTTACAAAGTATATAAGATATCTTACAAAGTATATAAGATATCTCATATAATTTATAAGATATCTTATAAAGAAAATTATATGAGATATCTTATAAAGAAAATTATATGAGATATCTAATAAACTATATAAGATATCGTATAGACTATATAAGATATCTTATAGGCTATATAAGATATCTTATATACTATATAAAATATCTTATAAATTATATAAGATATCTTATAAACTTTATGAGATAATTATAAAGTTTATTAGATATCTTTGAAGTTAGAACAAATAGTAAAACGGCTTGCCATAGTCTGTAGTTTCTATTTTCTTTAAATTTTAAGGCATTTTTTTTATCTTTAAAAATGACGTTTATTCTGTAAAATTCTCAAGAAAATAATTTTACAATTATAATTTTCTGTAATTAGATGATTTCTTTATTATGTACATCCTTCATTTCTGTAATCAGTATTGTATTATTCTATTCTTCTATTTTCCAGAGTTATTCTTTATACTATTCACCTCTTTATATTTTTTTCATATTTTTCTCTATTCATTATTTTATTTGGCCATTACACTTTATTTTCTAGATCCCATCCAGTTCCTCGTTTGTTTCAAAAGTTAACGTAAATCAAAATTGCATTCAAAGGCAATATGAATAACTTTTTTATTTGATGGATGTATATATATATATTTAACCCTTTGAGTAAAACAAATACAATGGAGTATAACAAATACAGTAGAGCTTTAGATTGCGGACAAAAACTATTAAATGGTAGGTGAAAGCAGAATCGTACAATATATTTTTCTATCGTCACGGAACTACTAGCACTGGCGCCGAACGGGACTCTTGTGGTTTTGTACTCGAAATTCAATTTTGTACGGACAAAAGTGAGTTTTGTTCAACAAAAATGAGTTCAGTTTAACAAAATTTGTAGCATACTACAAATTAAAATTTTGTCATACAAAATTATCTTTCAGTGGACAAAAGTTACTTTTGTCATGACAAAATTCATTTTTGTATCACAGACTTTACTTTTGTTACCTAATTTGAAAATTGGGCGACAAAAGTCAATTTTGTATGCAAATTAGTTTAGTTTGGTTTCTGTGAACTAATTTGCATAGAAAACTGAGATTTTGACACAAAATTGAATTTTGTGTTTATTTTTGTGAAGACAAAATTGAGTTTTGTTTAACAGAAGTGAAAATTTAACAAAAGTCAATTTTGTCTACACAAAAAATAATTTTAATTACAAAATCACAGGATGCTAATTCAATCAACATGTTAATTGCGTACAAATTTCCATATCAGGTAACAAAAGTCAATTTTGTATAAAAATAAGTTTATATTTGCATACCTATTTGACAAAATTGAATTTTGTCATGACAAAAATGAATTTTGTCTACAAAAAAATATTTTGTCATTACAAAATTGAAGTTCTCATAAAACAAGTCTGTATCACACAGTTTTGTAAGACAAAAATGATTTTGTTATGACAGAATTGAATTTTGTGTACACAAAATTTATTTTGATTACAAAAAGTTCAAGTCCCACTCGGCGCCCCGTACTCGCGCATAACGTATTAGCAAGGTTCTACAATATTATTGAAGCGACACAAGGCATATAATTTCATTTTTAATGCACCCCCTGGAATAAAGATTTATCATACACAATTAGAAATCATAACATATGTCCTATCTTTTTTATTCGGTAGTAAATACAGTGTCATTTCCGTCAAAACAAGGTCAAAGATCAAGGACGGACGATTTCTATATATGGAAGAAGAAAACTGTAGTCGATAGTCGTTCATTTTCATTTAAAGACAAACTCATGTGACGAGTTGATGATGAATAATTAAAATGGTTTTCTATATTTTCTTTAAGTATGTAAAGATCTATGGTTGTATTATTTGCCTTACAAATATGTTAAATTGAGAATTATGCCTCATCCTAAAATACGCAGATGAGTGGGTATGGCTGGCTGAAAAAAAGAACTTTCCGGAGAGGGTAAGAAGTGCATAATACTGTGTAAAAATATTAAGTTTATCTGAAGTTCTGATTAAGAACCATGTGGTGGAAGCTGTGCAAACAATATTCGCTTAAATAATGAACAAGTTCAATTTTCTTTTATATGTTGTACGCCTTCTAAAACAAGAAAAGCAGTAGCATTATGTCTGATTTTTTTATATATTGCAAGAACAATTTTGTCTGTTCAACGAAAAATTTGGTCTACAGTTTGCCATTGATTTGAGAAAAGTAATTTGGCATAATGAAAACATAATAAAAATATGTTATTTTATATAGTTTGCAATTTCCTAGATGAACAGCAATAAATTTCTGATTCCTTGTTGTTAGTGAAAAGCTAAACTAGGACCACGGTCAGTACATTTTTTCAAGGCAGAAATTCAGTAGTCTTTCTACCATTAGTTTCCAATAAAATGAATTGGTATTTACTTTCAAGTCAGATCTTGTTATCTCTCTTTTTAATATAAGTGTAATGATAACAAAGGACTAAATAGGCAGTGCATGATACGACATCAGCATGTCAACAAGGAAAAGATGGACAAGTGCATATTCAATGAAAGTGTGGTCAATGTAAAGAGGCAAGGGTCAATAAAAAATCAGAAGTTAGATAAAAACAGACAACACCATGGCTGATCATTTTTGTTGTTTACGATTTTTCTTTATCTGTTACAGTTTTTGCATAATATGCAAAATTGGGTTAAAATCATTATACAAGAGCAATAATTCGTATAAGGAGTCAATGGGCAAATTTGATCGCGTTGATATATTTTGGTGTTTCCAATTTTTCTTTATCTGCTATATAGTTCTGGCCAAAAATGAAAACATGGGTAAAATTCACCATTAAAGGGCAGTACCTCTTATGTATATGTATCATTAATAGATATGTACAAAAAATTGTGTGATTGTTGTATTGTTTCTGTCCGATTGGATAACCAAATTTGCTGGGTATGTAGCTACAAGATGGTGTATGATTTTATAGAAAATGTGTCTGTTCTTATTCGATATTTCTCAAGAGCTGCCCAGTTTAGTGTGTAGCATTTCAGGTACTGGTCTGGTTTTATGGTATCTGTTGCAAGTGTACCTAGCTGCCCTGCGCTTGTCAATCTCAAGTTGGTGTGTTTGTGATTTGGTATGTTGTTCCCAGACGCAGCTGCTGTATTCTAGCTTTTGTCTTACAGGTAATGTATAAGCTTTTTCTTTTGTTGTTTTTGAATTTACCTTAAGGTTTCTCTTAATGAAGTTTAGATTTTGGTTGGTGAGCACTGGATGGAACAACATAAGCCAGTCCTTCTCCCATTTTCTGCTGATGTAAGATCTTTTTGCAGTTTTTGTGTTTTATTTGTTAGGTATCGTTTTATATATTATGCCGTCATTTGCAAATAATCTTGGGGTGCTGTATTTGGTTTCATCATTAAGGTCATTTATATACGCAAGGCACAGGATAGGACACCAATGCGGTATGTGAGGAAATCTTCTATCCAGTGTAAGGTGCTGTATTCAATACCATAATAATTTAGTTTGGAGAGAAGTCTTTTGTGAAGTACTTTGTCAAATGCTTTGGCAAAGTCCGTCACAACTATACCAGTTTGGATGCTAATCTTGTTTTTTGCAAGTTCTTGGGTGAATGATACGATACTGATTGAGTTTCACATGATCTTGATGCTCGGAATCCATTTTGAAGGTCGTACAACATTTTGTTATTTTCTAAGTGATCCATCATATTACTGGCTATAACATGTTCCGTGATTGTTACATAGTATGAAAGTGAGTGATATATGTCTATAGTTTATTACAGTGTGTTTATCTCCTTTATTAAAGACAGAACAAACATTCTCATGTTTCCAATCGTCTAAATAAAGGCAACAGTAGTATACCGCTGTTCGAAACTCATAAATCGATAGAGATAAAAACAAATCCGGGTTACAAATAAAACTGAGGGAAACGCATCAAATATAAGAGGAGAACAACGGCACAACATTAAAATGTAACACACACAGAAACGAACTATAATATAACAATGGCCATTTTCCTGACTTGGTACAGGACATTTTAAGAAACAAATGGTGGGTTGAACCCGGTTTTTCTGTGTCTAGCGATTTCTGAAATATGTATGATATTGCGGTAGGGATGTCACTACTAAGCTCTTTTCGAACTTTTCCGCAGATTTGATCTGGACCAGTTGCTTTATTAGGATTGATCTTATCCAGTAATTTTATGACACTTTTCTTTAGTGATGTTTTCATTTTTGATAGTATGTTTTCCCTTTGTTTGGTATAGGTTCGCTTGTTGTTTCTTCGGAGAAGTTTTCTGAAACTGTCTCTTAAAGATGTTTGCTTTTTCTGATGTAGTGTCTGTTAGTTCTCTATCTTTTCTACGTGCAGCAATGCCTGTGCTGTCATACTTTTAATTTATGTAATCAAGTTCTATGGTTGTGTATGTGGGATGTTGTCATCTGGTTCTTCTACCGGTAAGTCAGATATAATTTTTTCGATACGGTTCCAATAGGCATTACGCATTTCTCTTTGTAATGTTCTTTTTAAGTATTGGTCTTGTTTCATTTGTTCCGGACTACTTTTGCTCTTTTTATATAGTTGTTAAACTTCAATTTTTAAGGTGTTAGCAACCCAGGGTGGTTTGATCTTTGTTGTGGTTGTCTTCTTGTGAATTTGTTTCTTTACTGATTTAATAAGTCTGTTTCTGAATGTATTCCAAAGATCATTAGTAGATGAACTGTGGAAATGACCGTTAATTTCTTGTTAGAGTTTGTTTCATGTTTTTCCAGTTAGCTTTTTTACACTGGTTGGTTTTCCTGTTTATTTTCTTATTACGTTTCAGAGATATTGCCCATTCTGCATAGGATGATATCATGATCTGCATTCGCTATAGGGAGCATTGTCTCTACTTTGTAGACTATGGTTGGTATGTTTGTAAATATGAGATCAAGTGTTCTGTCTCCCATTGTGGGTTGTTTTAACAATCTGCTCAAGTGAATATCCATTAATGATGTTAAGATGTTGTTCATGAAGTTGAATGTCTGGTTTTTGCAAGGAACGATGCATGGAATATTCCAGTTTATGTGGACAAGATTAAAGTTGCCACCAGGAATGATCGTTGATTTGACATTTTGAGTTGATCTATGGATGTACCGTTATCGGATGGAGGTCTATAGCAACTTCCAGCAATTAGCTTTCTTGCATTCGTGATTTTTATTTGTACCCATATAGAGACAGAGTCTTGGGAGAGAAGGTTTGTTGTTACTGCATAATCAATTTTTAAACCAGATAACTCAATGATTATTGTGGCCAACTTTTGTTCAAATTTGTTCAGTAGTTTCAGAGGGGAAGATTTTTGCAGAAGTTAAGAGATGACGACTTCAGACGTCAACTGATAAGAATACCTCATTATAACCTTTGGGTCTGGTCATTGTAAAATCTTGATATAACACTTTTGCATTTAGTTAAGATAACATTTTTTTCAGTGGATAAAATGAGCATGAAGTTCTCCATAAATTAACTTAAAAATATATAGTTGTTTTGGGGGTATTTTAAGTTCAAACATTGATATACTTTTTTCTCTTTTTATGATTGTTTATTGATTTCTGATGAAATTTTATTTTCCTTTCCATAATCTTACTAGACACTTTTTATTCTATTGGCCAAACAATTCTGTAGCTGTTTGACCTATCTTTTGTAATTTATGGGCAAATTACATGTCAAAACAATTTGAGAGTAGATGATTAAAATGGTTTTTAAAATTTCTGCAAGTCATAAAAATCATCATCATTTTCATGATATGTCTTTAATTCAGAACTCTATACCATCTTTAAATCTAGAGTGATCACATAGACCCAGCTTGATTGGATCAAATCTTTATAAAAGCAATGACAAACTTGTGTACTGTATTTCAGGTAATTAATCAGTCAACAGAACGGCTGTGACTAGATGCCAATAAAAAGCAAATGCCTTTTAAACAATGAAAAGACTGACAACAATAACAAAACACCACATAGAAAACTAAAGATCAAGAATCATGAATAGTTTGCATATGTCGTGTATTGGACAAAGTAATATATTTGAACAAATGCTCTCAAATACTTTCTTCACAAAAAGAAGGAAAACAAAATATAAATACCAATTCTGTTTAATATATGTTGTCAATATACATTTTTACATTAAAATTTTGATTACATAAATGCCCTATTCATAATAACAAAACAAAAGATATTGTTTTTCAGAAACAAGCACTTGAAGTAACTAGCACTGAAAACTTTCAGAAAATTCGGGAACTGTAATCAACACTGTCAATTTCATATTTTAACACAACTACTGAGTGACATTCAGCATGTTTTTACCAAGTCATTCAAAGCTACACACGTCTGATTGACCTAACTAAGTAAAACTCTTACACTGTTGTCATTTAATAAAAAATAAAGCTCACCAAAATATATGCATCTTCATTTGAAACAGGCTTTAGATCCATTTGGAAAAAAGACTAAAAATTTTTAGTAATCAACATTTTCTCTCTCAAATAAGACACTAACAGAAACAACATAACGTAAGCTAAACTACACAAACAAAATATCTTAAGCTAAAGTACACAAACAAAATATCTTCATAAAAACTATGTGTTAAATTGCACATATGCAGAACATTTAAAAAATGGAATTTATTATCTATTTACACTTCAACACGATCAACGAGATATTCATTAAAAGAGATAAATATTCAAATGGCTGGGTCATACAAATACACAAAGAGAGAAGTGGTTTTGTACAAATCACATAGGGAGACACACCCAACATGTCTTCATTCAAACATAATTTTAGATATTTTTCACAGAATAAAAAAAGCTTTCAATAACATGGTTCCTGAAAAATATGAAGAATGTTAAATGCTATTTACGTTGAGAACTTTTAGAAACGAGGCATTTAGAGGAATGAAATAGAGATTTGTAAGAAATTTGGGTATTTGCCAAAGAAATTTGATGAATAGAGTAGATTACTGGTAAAAGAGTACTTCCTTACATATGTATTACAGATAACATTTCATTTTATAATGTAATACACACTATATTTATGTATTGTGTACATTTTATTAAACATAATGTTATACACACTACATTTATTATAACATATTAATATAACAACTATACAGACTAAATTTCATATATTATGTACTAGATGTAACTTATAGCAATACACACTACATTAAATACATTGTGTACTTCATTTCAAATAATGAAATATACAACAAGTTTAATAAATAATGTGCTTTGTAAACTCTCATTTATGTAAAAGTCATGTCTTGCTTTATGTTTTTTTTTGGGGGTTATCTGAAGAAATATAACATGAACAACAGCTAGGATGTATCTCTCTGAAGTTTTATGATGAACTCCTAGCATATACCTGTTTTCATTCAGCTATAGAAAAGATGAATCAAAAGTTTCCATTCATAAGGCAGTCTAAGATGGAAGTCATATTCTTTGAACATTCTTTTCTGTAAGACAGTATAATATTTTGTGACAGTGTTTCTGTATACTCCTTATCGAGCTAATGTTGTTATGAGGTCAGCACACATTTCAAAGAATTCTAACGTCTGATGTGTTTTCATTGGCTCATCATCAACTTCCATATTTTCTTCTGTAAAACAAACGAGGAATATATTATCATGTACAAGATCTGAACATTTCTTTATCCAAATAAGTTTTTGTTAATGGTTGTTTTAATGATAAATGACATTTACTATTTCTTTTCAGAAACCTTAACCAAGAAAAGCATGCCTCAATTGAAAGGTTAAAATAAAAATAATTCTACATAAATACTACATAACATTTCATCAAGCAATCCTCAATTATCTCTTATAATAACCCTGTATTCCATTTTTAAAGGTTATTGTAAGATATTTACAGATACTGTAATGAAAGCTTTACTTTCGAAAATTTTGTAAAACAAAGATTTTGTTATATATTTTAGATACATGCCATATATATCTTATTTATGACTTTCAGAATAAAAAAAATTGTAAATTTTGAATCAAATGTTAGACAAACATTACAATGTGTAAATGATGCCATTTACCATTGTGTGGGTGTGTGGAAGGCTGAGGGGAATGCATATTGATAATGAAAATTAGTATCAAAGTAATAACTAATTGACAAAATTCACTGAACCTTACAAATATTATTTAAAATATTGATACATGCAAGTAATTCTACTAATTGCTTGCCTACTATATGAGATCATACACACATTTATCCATTTATTGAAAACTACTTCTCTGGTGGAGTCTTGCTTTTTCCAACCATCTTTTCAATGGGAATGGACAAAGAGCTGGCCAAAACACTAGCATAGATAGACTGTCTTTTTTATCAATATAAGTCTATGCATTCAATATTTTTTAAAACAAGAGTGTACAAGGGTAGTATAAATAATTAAGACTGATAAGAAAAGCATACTCCACAAGAGCTGTTGTGTATGGTGTGAACAGCTGACTATTATTATCCTGGAGACTTAAAATTTCTTCCAATTTAGTAAAGTGTTGTTTTTTACTGTTTGGTATTTATCTCATTTAAAACCCATGTTTGTGTAGCAATAGGTAAAAAGAATTTGGACACCTATAATCATATTTAAACTAGTACTTTCCTATCAAACAAATTGGTTCAGCACAGTATATATTTAATTTTCCAGGTACCATCTTTTTTTCTATTTGAAAAAGTTATATTGTTTCAAGAATTCATGATTTTATCAACTGCTCATATCAAATTTGATTTGGAATGGTACTTAATAACGTTATTTCTTGAAGTTGGTATAAAACAACGAAGTCCATTTTTCCACACATGATATTAAATTTATAGTAATGAAGTTTAATATTAATCTTATAAAGTACTTCAAGTCAAAGATACCAACTTTTGTGATTCTTGGAGGATTCCTCTTCTCAAGGGGCTCAAAACTGTTCCATGGAAATTTACAGTTTCATTTAAAGTGCTGAATTATTTAGTAGAATTTTCCAATCTTTGGATAATATAAATAATGGAACTAATTAATTATTTAATTGATGAAAATTGGTAACTTGTGAATAATTTTATTTTCATCATTGTATTAGGTTTCTACATATAAAGAAATATCATAAAATTAATCTATAGCTGAACACAGTTCTTTATATATTCATGTATTAATAAGATCTATATTCTACATACAAACACTTAGTACTATAATATATTAGAATGAATTAATTACTGAACATTCACTGTGACCCCATGCTGACTTAGATAAACAGGCCATAAATTTCAGTACAAGCATCCATTACCAAGGTATAAAGTTGGAAGAATACAGATTATTTTTAAAGCATATATTTTTTTTCAGGAAAATGTCAGCAAAACAAATAATAGCTTCTTTCTCCCTCCTCCAACTACAGACTGTTATATATCTATGTCCTTTAAGGAAGGTAAAAAAAATGCACCTGATCTGGATTCAACTGTCTTAATACACAAATAGTTTAAACAGAAAAAGAATGTTTAATTCTTTATTGATTTTTCTTGCAATTCCAGTGTGTGAATCTGCAATATGTGCCAAGTCATCAAAGTCCTTGTATATTGCTATTACATTATGCACACACTGCTGTTTTTGTCCTTACATTGACATAGGTCATGTACAATTCAAGTTTTTTTTCTCTATTTTAATGAAATCCACTTTTGGAATAAAATTTCTCAAGATACTTCATCTTTATTTTTTTTATTTTAGACTCAAATTGTACATGAAACTGATACTCAAAGACTTGCACTTTCAATTATGGAAATCATCAAATCATAAACGATGTTTGGTGATATTTAAAAAAATGAGATAATGATATGACTATGGATGTTTTTGTAACATTGTACATGGTTTTATCTTAGTAGAAAGGTTTTCCAATTTCCATTTCAATTGCTCAAAGTATTTTCTAAGAAGCATTCCATGAATGCATGATTCATCTAAATCATGCATCTATGATATAATATTTCAAAGGAAGGGAAAAAAGTGATTCTATAATATATATACTGGGTAACCTTCGACCTCAAAGCAGCTAGCCATAGTTATCAGCTTATGTCAATCAATTGGAATAAAATATATAAATCAAATTTTTTGCTCCAATGGCAGTATATTATCCATGTGAAAACAATTTTTATATTCAAAATTCAATGTCTTCTGGGATAACAAAATTTTTCCAATCTGCATTTGTCAAATTGTTAATATTTAGAACTATTAGCAATGTATTACTTTATAAGTTATTATGACTGTCAGACATTTTAATTTGGAATTCTCAGATAATTCCAAAACCATAGTGTACCACAGGGAATTTTTGTTGTACAATGTATTATAATAGTAATCAATCATACAAGAAAATTAATGTTGTAAATAAACAAATGAAGCAAACCAAATAAAGAAATTTGTATGATAGAACTGTATCATATAAACAAAAAATGAGTTAAATTGTGAAACTGTAATAGCTAGGTTTTCAGAGAATCCCAATTTTAAAGTAGAAAGTGCAATGTGTATAAAGCGTGACATAAGCTGATAGTAACACTTACCAGGCATAAATAATACAGTATCTTGTGAAGCATCTGAAAATCAATTATATATTAAACAGTGTGCCCCATAAAGCTGTTGTGAAGGGAGCTGGGCTTGATCCTGCATAATGTCATTCACACCATTGTGAGTAACCTCAAACCAGTGCTGAATGACAACTGGGTGCTGTGACACAAAAATACAGGTATTATGTGACAATGATGATCATTTCAAAAAAGGTTTTCATATAAAACTTTCATGTGCAAATGGAATAAAAGTTTCAAGAGAAAAAACATAATTACTTAAGGCTCCAAAACATGCATTGCTCACCTGGCAGATATGTGTAAATCTGCTTAAATGCTAGCTAAAGCATCAAGTAACATATTTTGCTAAGGAGTAATTTTGGATGTACCACTGACATAGAAAAATCAAACTGTATGTTAGCATTGAAGGGTACAAATTGCTTTCATGTTGCTATGTGAACTTAAAATTAAACAATGAATTATATTTAACAATGGAACACATTTAGGCAAATTATATATTTTGAATGATCCCTTGTTCATAATTATACACTTGAAGTTAACCCCATTTTTATGACAGATAGATTCATTCTCCATGCACAACATATGTTATTTTTAAAAATAAAACAAGTATCGTTATTCAAATACATACTGGGTCATTTTGTAACTTGAATAGCTGAGAATAATAGCTCACAAATCAGGTTGAAAAACTGATTTGTTACTCATACATACTCTGTACAAAAATGACATGTGGTATGATTGCCAATAAGACAAGTGTCCCCAAATGACCAAAGGATGTGGATGTGAAAAAACTACAGGTAATCATATGGCCTTCAATAATGAGAAAATCCCTTTACATTCAAAAAGCTATAAAATACCCTTGAATAACAAAATTTGAATCAATTCAAGAGAAATCTAACAGTCTGATTTAAGCTTATTCAAAAAAAATGTGATGGAGTTGAACATTTATGACTTTTGACCATAAATTTAAAAATTTATAGATTGTGTGGTTCAGATAATCAAAGTACAAAATTTCAAATTCAGCACAATACTTCATACATTAAAAATTTTAAATAATAAAAAGACAAGAGTGCACACGCTGAAATGTCTCGCCTTCTTTACTAATCATTGATATCATGTTGACCTAAATATAAAGCTTTATTACAACTGTCACATAAACTTAACATTAACCAATGAACCATGAAAATGAGGTCAAGGTCAGATGAACCATGCTAGGCAGGCATGTACAGCTAACAATTCTTCCATACAACAAATATAGTTGACCTATTACTCATAGTTTAAGAAAAACAGACAAAAACACAAAAACTTAACACTGAGCAATGAACCTTGAAAATGAGGTCAAGGTCAAATAAAACCTGCGTGACTGACATATAGATCATAAATTATTTCCATACACCAAATATAGTTGAACTATTGCATATAGTATCAGAATAAAAGACCAAAACTCAAAAACTTAACTTTGACCACTGAACCATGAAAATGAGGTCAAGGTCAGATGACACCTGCCAGCTAGACATGTACACCTTACAATTATTCCATACACCAAATATAGTAGACCTATTGTATACAGTATAAGAAAAACAGACCAAAACACAAAAACTTAACTATAACCACTGAACCATGAAAATGAGGTCAAGGTCAGATGACACCTGACAGCTAGACATGTACACCTTACAATCATTCCATACACCCAATATACTAGACCTATTGCTTATAGTATCTGAGATATGGACTTGACCACCAAAACTTAACCTTGTTCACTGATCCATGAAATGAGGTCGAGGTCAAGTGAAAACTGTCTGACGGGCATGAGGACCTTGCAAGGTACGCACATACCAAATATAGTTATCCTATTACTTATAATAAGAGAGAATTTAACATTACAAAAAATCTGAACTTTTTTTTCAAGTAGTCACTGAACCATGAAAATGAGGTCAAGGCCATTGGACATGTGACTGACGGAAACTTCATAACATGAGGCATCCATATACAAAGTATGAAGCATCCAGGTCTTCCACCCTCTAAAATATAAAGCTTTTAAGAAGTTAGCTAACGCCGCCGCCGGATCACTATCCCTATGTCGAGCTTTCTGCGACAAAAGTCGCAGGCTCGACAAAAACCAAATTGGTTGGTTCCACTGAATCCTATTTTTGAAAACCTACTTGACAGCAGATGGAAGTGATGGCAATACTAAGAACAGGTTTATGAAATAAATGGATCAACTACATGTGTCTGAAAATGACTTTTGTTGACAAAAAAAAAAACACATGAAAACCTTTTTATGCAAAATGACAAAAGCTTAGTGTATACAAACTTTGTAGAAAGCCAGACAATGCAACGCAAACAAACATATCAACAGAGCAAAAAATAGTAATATAAGACCAAGAAACTGGAAATTACTTATATTTTCTGATAATTTATATGGGAATTAAACACGAAATACTCAAATGTGCTAAAAAGTATTAAAATAGGTCATTAACACTTCTGGTACAGAACCACTAATTTAGACCCGGTCATGACAAACATATAAGACAGTAATACATATCTATTAAACAAATTATTTCCTAGGCATAGCTGTAACTTCTAAAATATGCAAAAGTTGTGGGTAACTTTGGTAGGATATGAAAGCTTAATGACTTGAGATCACTGTATAACCTTTGTTGAATTTTTAATTTTGAATATTAAAACATCATATGGAAAAGAAATAGGAGGCCTGTTTTTCAGATCAGAAGTACCAGTACTTCCAAAACCTCAAGGAACCAGTGCACTCATAAATGCAATAAAAAAAATTTCACCACAAGCCAAGCAAAGGTATTGTTTTGACATGAAATGACTAACTTTTTTCAACTAAAGATAAAATGGCTATGACTGTTGGAAATAGCAGAAGTTAACATAGAACCAATGTGCCCATGAATTAGTGGTTTTATACCTTATAAGTGAACTATGCTGGCCTTAAGATGACTTTGGCATTTTGTCATTTGGTAACTGTCTCATTGACATATATGATAAAGAAAGGCTAGAAAAAAAACTACACTGCAAAGTTAATGAAATTCTTATGCAAAACCTATTTCTAACAGGTTTTTCCAAAGGCAACTTGAATGATAAAAAGCTAGGAAAAAATGTGATTATGTGGCATTTTTGAAAGCACATAGTGTTTACAGTGACTAGAAAGTAATGTCAACCTTTCACTTATTCCAGTATGCTTATTGCAGAATAAAAACAAGAATGTGTCCATAGTACACGGATGCCCCACTCGCACTATCATTTTCTATGTTCAGTGGACCGTGAAATTGGCGTCAAAACTCTACTTTGGCATTAAAATTAGAAAGATCATATCATAGGGAACATGTGTACTAAGTTCCAAGTTGATTGGACTTCAACTTCATCAAAAACTACCTTGACCAAAAACTTTAACCTGAAGCGGGACAGACGGACGGACGGACGAACGAACAAACGGACGGACGAACGAACAGATGCACAGACCAGAAAACATAATGCCCCTACTACTATCATAGGTGGGGCATAATTAACGCTCCGACCAGAGCTAGTGACCATCTTGAACTTGTAATCTTTTGCTGATTGTTGAAGGCCTCACTGTGACTTTGATATGAAGAACAGCAATAAAATTGTTGTTTTCTTTTTGCTTTGAGTTTTCTTTTTTTCTGTTACTTTACAGAAAGAAGGCATTTTCTTTTTTTTTCAAATGGCTGTCCCATGCAGGTCATACAAGAGTGGTAGTCACATCAATTGGTGCATATTAGAAATTCATTATACATTTTACTATTATAATGGTGATAGCCCCCCCCCCCCCCCACAAAAAAAGAAAAATTTACTGTAATTGTACAAATTGAATGTATACACAATATAAAGGACATATATAAAATTTGAAATTAAATGAAAAATTAATAAAAGTGTTAATAGAGATGGCAAAAAATATAAAAAAAAAAATGTCCAAGTATATAGCACATATATTTTTGATCATACAAAAGGTAATTATTATGATGTCATAACATTACCAAGGATATAAATGTATAGAGGTCATAACATTAACAAGGATATAAATGTATAGAGGTCATAACAATTAAACATTACCTATGATCTAAATGTATAGAAGTCATAATATTACCAAGGATCTAAATGTATAACATCTAAATGATTGTGAAAAGTGACATGTCTGCCATGTAGGTAAGAAGGATAATAGAGAAACTAAAGAAGGCCAGTGGCCAAAACGTTCAAAAATGGTTTAATTAATATAAAAAAAGTTATCTGTTATTTCCAGATCCATAGTCAAGATATCACACATACACACATCTCATTACTGTCACAAAATAAACTATGCAAACCACAAGTTCATGTGATCATTCAAAATAATAGTAGCTGACAGTAAAATAGCTATGCCTTAACTAAATAATTTATGTACCAGACTTAACAAGTACAGTAGATGCAAACAGCACATCCCTATTGAGTAATTATCTATGTCAAGTTTGAAGAAAGACATCACAGAAAACAACAATAAAACACCACAAAATCAATTTTACTATCATAAGAAGCATGCCCTATAATAATCCTTTGCAAATGATATTTATTCTTAAATAAATTTAAGATATCGCAGGAGGCACACTATGTGATTATTTTCTTACGACTGATCATATCTGCAGAAATCATGACCGAAGTTAAAACAGTAATGTAACCGGAGAGTCATTCCACAAAAGAAATTATAACTTTAACATTTAATCATTTAAATAGATCATAAATTAGTATTGCCAATCAGGAGGATCAAAATTAAAATACTGACTTTCGACACAGAGATTCATCTCGCCTGTGGGCAAAAAATTTTAAAAATGACAATCTGATGGACAGCAACATTGCTTATCAATTCAATGTCACTGAACCATAACCTAGGGGACAGGGCCTCGAAATAGTCCGCAAACTGAAATGTACTTAAAGTAATGAAACTTTATACAAAATATCAATGATCTATCACAAGTAGTTCCTATCAAACTGACTTTAGCAGAAAACTTAACATTGAAAATTGATAATTAATTCAGTCACTGGACCATGACCTAGGGGGCAGGGTCTTGAAATAGATGTCAAACTGATATGTTCTGATAGTAATGCAACTTTATAGAAAATATCATTGAACTATCACAAGTACTAGTAGTTCATATCAAACTAACTTAAGCAGTAAACACTGCTGGAAATGTCTCCCTTTCGTCTCAGGTGAACAAAAAACACCAGGGGTTACAACCATCTTCCTACTTTTTTTTAATATAAAAATTGAAAAAGAAGACAACAAATTTCTGATATAAGAAAAGGTTATATTCAGTGAATGGCCATTATGTTATAAGCATATTATTATTTTTCAACAGGTCTTGACATTACACATATAAACTTATATACTGGGATTTCTCTTATTAACAAGTGTTTAGACTTACATAATGTGATATGGTCCTGACTTCCATTCATACTCAATGATTTTCTACATTGGACTTCCTGAGAATATTAAGAACCCTTATGTTTGCTCTATCAAAATTACTACTGTCAGTTTTTTACAATGATATTTAGAGATAACAGTATGCTCAAATTTTCCCATCAGCCAATATGTTTATCTTTAGAATTCATTTAAAATTATTTGTTGCTTTTTTTAATGATATAAAGCTCCAAAGTTTGTCTGAACTATACAAACTTGAAATATAAATCAACTGTTGAGCAATGTAAGAAGCTTCCTACTGTTGTAATTTTCGTGTGATATTTGATGGGGAAAAGGACCAATTATGAATATATCCACTAAATGATAGAAATTTCTTATTAATTTTAACAATAATTTCATATTTTGCTCTTGTGTAGGAAGAAGAGTAGATTGATTGATTTTTGGTTGCTTAACGTCCAGTGGCAAATATTTCATGCATGTTCAGGAAGAGGAAGAAGAGTAGAAGATTTGTAAATATACTGTAATACATTGTCATTCTGCCTATTTATTTGGAAGATTTTCTTCTTAATCTGAACTGATGAAATTGATTTTTAATATGAAGTTTATATTTATATAGCACTCTGAAACTTATATTTCAGAAATAATAACAGTTTGTAAAAATTATTTCTGACCTAATCATTCAATGAAATGAGGTTGTCATAACACTGCTATCAGTACAAATCAAAGATTTTGTGGCAATTTTTTTTTCTTTTTTGGAGAGGCACTAGTTTACTTGATTTTAAAATGCAAAGTAGATGCAACATAATTCATCCATATGTCTAAAACAAGATTAAGTGAACTGTCAACTCAGTATTACCAAAGCACACACACATTACATATGAAATTGTCTTTTTTTTTAATTTATTCCATAGAATCCTGGTTTTAACATCTCAAGTTTGTTACTTTACAACTCTTGTCACAAATGGGAAAGATTTGATCATTTACGTGAAAATGTGTTTGAAATATGCTCATTTTTGTGATGCATTTTGTTTTATTTTTCAAGCTGATAGATCATGCACAAAAAAAGAGGAAAATAAAAAACATGTCCATTTCTGTATCAGCAGAACCTGTCTTCACAAGCCAGCTTATCACAACCTAGGATTTCATCTTCAATAAATAGTGGAGAAATAGAACTGTGAGTGAAATTACAAATGGATATCCCCCTGCCCCCAAAACTTCTAGTATTTTGAAGTAAGTACATAAACTATCTCCACTTAAACATGGCAGACCAGGGTTATATTCCTTCTATGTAAATCCTCAGGTAGTGTTTTACAACTGTGTAAGATTTCATCAATATCTGTTCAGTAGTATAGGAGATAAGCTTATAGGACACATGAACAGGGTAATTCCTATATAATCCCCCAAAAAACTGTGTTGGCATGGAGTATAATAACTGGCATCTGAAAACAACTTCCACTAAATTTTCTACAAACCATAAGAAATGTGCTTAATATTTCGAATATTTATTATTTTATTTAAAAGTAGCTTTCATAATTATTAAAAGCATGCATGAAATCTACATGAGCTGCCACTGAAACATAGACAGTTATTTTAGTAATGAGTATAGGATTCGTGCCTGCAAAACAAAATGGCACTAAATAGCTTAAGAAAATCGGCAGGACAGTAATAAGTCTTCACCTGGAAGTATACTGAATGGAGTATACGGTAAACGACAACAAGGAAAACGTTCAATATTACGAAATAGTATTTTACGATGACGAGGAATGTTTTCAGTCACCTTCCCTGCCGAGACAAAAGGCTTCACTATCACTGCAATTATAAAGATGTGGGACATTAATTTGGCAGAAATGAATGATAATGGTCGTTACTTATACCTTAATGAATATGACAGATCATGGATACTTTGCTTTTCTCTTAACTGTTTTCATTTTAACTGATGCTGAATCATTTCACTGAATTATTTCTATTTTCCATAATATATTTCTATTCAATTATCATTAAAAAAAGTCACATAGAATTGAAAAATATCACTTAACTCGAAAATTTTACCAGCAGTCATTTATTAAGGTAGATAGGGTGTCTTCCTCCATCTTGGATTTTGAAATACCAGAAAACAATCGGTCTAGATCTTTAATAAAATGTGCAAATTTTGAGAGTAGTAGGTAATTCATGTGTAAACATTTTCAATTCAATATAGAAAATGACATGTTTTATCATATTTATGGTTGTATTTTACAAAAAACAGAATACTTTTGTTAGATTCAATATTTTCCAACTTTGCCACATGAGGGGAGGCAACTCAAATGTAAGGGCAGATCATTCAAATAAAGTTACTTTTACAATAGAATGTGTTAGGAATTTACCTATTTTATTATGTAGCAAGAAAACGGGTCCTGTGACCCCATTTTTTCTTTTTCTTATCTGAAAGCATAATATGAGAGCTATCTATGGTGTAGTTTTCGTTTTATGGCAGAAAATTGGGTTTTCCATGCATAATCTATACAAAATCTGTCAATTTTGCACAACCTGTAATGTGAAAATAAGCCCTGTGACCCATTCTTTTAATATTTTTTTTAAATAAGCATGATATAAACTACATTTTGGCAAATTATTAAAAAATTCTATGGATTATAATTTAGACACCCCATCTACCTTAAATGAATTTCAATCATTATATTTTTTTTTACTCTTTACCTTTAGTTGGTTTTTAACTTTATATTCATTACTCATTATAATACAAAAATTGTAATAAAAATTATATTGACATATTCCAGTTTAGTTATTACAGATAAACTAGAGGCTCTAAAGAGCCTGTGTCGCTCACCTTGGTCTATGTGCATATTAAACAAAGGACACAGATGGATTCAAGACAAAATTGTGTTTTGGTGATGGTGATGTGTTTGTAGATCTTACTTTACTGAACATTCTTGCTGCTTATAATTATCTCTATCTATAATGAACTTGGCCCAGTAGTTACAGTGGAAAATATTTTGTAAAAATTTACAAAAATTTACAAAATTTATGAAAATTGTAAAAAATTGACTATAAAGGGCAATAACTCCTTAAGGGGTCAATTGACAATTTTGGTCATGTTGACTTATTTGTAGATCTTACTTTGCTGTACATTATTGCTGTCACAGTTTATCTCTATCTATAATAATATTCAAGATAATAACCAAAAGCTGCAAAATTTTCTTAAAATTACCAATTCAGGGGCAGCAACCCAACAACGTGTTGCCTGATTGGTCTGAAAATTTCAGGGCAGATAGATCTTGACCTAATGAACAATTTTATCTGCTAAAAGATTTGCCTTAAATGCTTTGGTTTCAGAGATATGAGCCAAAAACTGCATTTTACCCGATGTTCTATTATTTAGCCATGTCGGCCATCTTGGTTCGTGGGCGGGGTAATCGGACACATTTTTTAAACTACATACCCTAATGATGATTGTGGACAAGTTTGGTTAAATTTATCTTAGTAGATTCAGAGGAGAAAAATGGTTAAAAATTGACTATAAAGGGCAATAACTCCTTAAGGGGTCAACTGACCATTTTGGTCAAGTTGACTTATTTGTAGATCTTACTTTGCTGAACATTATTGCTGTTTACAGTTTATCTCTATCTATAATAATATTCAAGATAATAACCAAAAAATGCAAAATTTCCTTAAAATTACCTATTCAGGGGCAGCAACCCAAAACAGGTGAGCTAAAAAGCTAATTTCAATTTCAAAGGAATCATTTGAAAATAACATAATCCTTTTTGCTGTAATAAAAAATGAGACATAAATATAAAATAAAAAACTCTTTGAATCAAGATTGGTCAATCACGTTAATGTTTCATTTCAACATTTCAATTAATACCTTACATCAAAACAGGTACAACTGTTCATTTTTCTTGCAACAAGTCAGTTCTAACAGAATTTTACAGACAACTATTTAAACGACTGTTAGCTATTGAAATCACTTCAGGATGGCTTGAGAGTTTAACTAGAGTAGTTATAGTTCCATCATCTGACATTTTGTAAAAAGTTTAAAATTGAATGTATCACTTGTAAGAAATTTTTCATGAACACTTACTGTAAGAGATTCATCTTATTTGGTTTTAACAAAGCATAAAGCCATTCAATAAATTTAATAAATATGCAGGACATTTTAGGTTCAAATTTGAGACCACCATGTCACATAAAACTGTAATGATCTACTTGTAAAAATCGACTGGACTTAAGAATTCTGGAAGTCAATCTCATAAGAGAAAGACATGAGGTAATTTTGAAAAATCCATATTTTCAAGACAGACAGGAAATTGACTCAAACCTATTTATACAAGAGATTATGGAAAATGTTGACTGTAAATTCCATAAAAAGATAATGACACCTTTAAAGGTTTAGAAAAATGACATACTGTAAAATATAGGTATTCCTTAATTATAATTAAATATTATAAATTCCAAGGCATCAAGAGTTCATATCTTTGATTCTGAAAAGGACAACAAAGTTTCTCTGTGCATACTGCTGTACAAAAATGCTTGACAGTCAGTGTTATAACATAATAGTGATCTTTAGTGTCTGTGTGCACAATTCCAGTTATTTACTGGTGAATCAAATATTCCACTGAATGAAGCAGTACTCACTGTAAAAAATTCTATAAAAAGTCTTCTTTGTGAACAAGACAATGGTTAGGAAGAGATGCAAAATGAAAATGGAATGTACACTAAAATTACCTAGATCTGAAAATGAGGCTGGTGTAGCTGGTAAACTGTGTGCCATTGAACTCTGGGAAGATTCTGATGATGCTACTGACGATTCCCTCAATTCTACCGAGTTCAGACTTTTGAAATCAAGAAGGAAACTCTTCTGATCAACCTGATATAGCTGTAAACTCATTTTTGACTGAAAAAATTAAATTAATTAAAATTACATTATATTAAATATGGTTGAAAAAAAAATATAAAATCTACAACTGATGTTCTTTTTAAAAACTTAAAACAATTGATAACAACTCATGCATGTCTTAAATATATTTCTAACTAGCTGGGTTATCTAGCTTTCATTTCCCTGTGACAATTATACCAAGCCAATCTTTATATTGTGTTTACAGTTTTTGTCTTTTGACTGTCAGAAAAATTACCTGTAAATATACCTTTTTATCAAATAATCAATATAAACTGCATATTCTGAATTTACTAGTAATATGTTGATAGAATATAAGTTACATTTTTTCATTCTTTGTAGAGCAATACTTTTTTGCCTGTTTTTTTCATGATAATTGATATGTTGTTTGCTTGTTTTTTATCTCTTCTTGAGTGAAATTCGATTATAAAAACAAATTTGTAGCAATTCAATAGTTTTGCTATTGTAATGGCATGGAAAAGGCATCCATTCCTGATGCTCTTTTACAGAAAGAACACAATCTTTTGAAGTTCATCAGAAAAGAATATCTAAGTTTGCCTAAATACATGTATCTTCATGAAATCAACCCAGAAACAAATTGTTTTACTGCAATATCATTAATTATCCACTCTTAGTAGTTGACTTTTCAAACATTCAACTCTCCCTTCCTGTGAACATCCCATCTGACATTACACAGCAGTAGAAACTATATGTTGTTAATTTTTTGATAAAGTTATTTATACTCACAAATCTACCAGATACTGGGTTCTTCCTCCGAACTCGAACATGATAATGGTTTATTACCTTCCATTCCTGAAATCATATTTAATGGTTGTTCATTATATATATTGCCTAATTTCTGTGTAATGACTCTAAAGCTTATTCTATGCGATGAAAATAATTATAATTTTCGTCAATCAGATACCTATGTAAAAATATCTTTTCCTTAAAATTGTGGAATAATTCTAAATTTGAGTTTCATCAATTTCTAGGACCATCATTGAATCTTTGGTATCCTATTCCTTAGATACCAATATAGAATGTTCTCTGTAAATAGTCTGAATGTGATGAAAACTTACATAATTCAATGTCTTCATAGCTCTGTATACCTCATGCATAATGTCCTGTGGTTTGCTCTGTGATCTTATACCTAAAATATAACAATATCAGTTATGATAGAAAATCAGTTGATGTTTTGACTGATGCACATATCACATGTTTACAGTACTTATTACATAAAAGATGAATGAGTCGATACAATGGAAACTCAAACTACATGTAATAATTTAAATGTGACCAATTCTAATGTGAATCTTGTTTTGATCAAAATCACAAGTTCAGCCAAACTTTGAACACATTCTAAACCAGAAGGTTACAATAAGTAGGACAACATGTTACCCACACTCTTAACACATTTTCTTGGCTCTAAGAATGGTAGCAGTGGAGAATTAGCAAATACAAATTTTAAAAGTCTTTGGTTTGATCTAGCAAAAAATCAAATCCATAATTTTTATCCAAGATCAGCATATTACAAGAAGCTGACTGAAATAAGCCAGAAATGGGAATAAGCATTTTGTGATAAATTTTACTGATTCCATAAAGTTTCAGTAGAATTTAATTGCAAAGTTATATAATGAATAAGAATTGCAGACTAGTGAAAAAATTTAATAATCAGGAATAAGAACTAATTTTATAAATAATAGTTACGTGAAAATTGCATGCATCAAGATAAAAATGCTCATAAAGCCTTCCAAATTAGTATCATGAGGTGCAAGTAATCAGATATTTCAAATCGCAACTTTTTGTAAACATTTTCCAAACAAATGATGTACATTTAAATTCCAAATTTTTACTTGTTTCTAAAACAACACAATGTAGGGCTATTCTATAATTAGTCATATTTTCTGTTACTCTGTTGTAGCAAGTGGGAACTGACATGAAACTGAAGTCTCTAATTCAGTTGTCCAATGGTTTCAAAGGTAGCAAACAGGATTCAGTGTAGTTGGGCAATCATGTGCAGTCAAACTAGCATGATCCATAGTTCATCTAACATTAATGATGTTAATCTATCCTCTTCCTAATGTTATTGTGCTATTTATACCACTTGATAAAGTTTGTATAGTTTTACCTAAATGCCACTTTGCCTTTTTAGGTGGAGTCTGAGATTTGTTGGCAGTCACTAGTAAAGGCTCTAAAGTATGTGATGTATGTTTCAATTCTGAAAAATAAAATATCTCTGTTTGAATAATTACAAACGTATATGTATCATATCTAAATTATGCTTTGAAAAGAATGAAATATAAACTAATATATTCATCCTTTAACTGTCGAACAATAAATGTTCTACTAAAAGTGACAAATTTTATTTCTTCATTTATACAATAAGATAGTAAGCTGTCCATAATATACTAAAATATTCAGTCAGACATTTAATCTGATTGCTTTCAAGGATCTGACAGAGCTCTGTTCTTCTTCCTGTTTTAAGACCTTTCAGGATCCTCTGGTTTAGTCGTAATCATACACACCTTCATAAATTTGGTTGCAGAAATTTTGTTGGCTGATGTAATAATTACCAGAACAGAAATTAGAATGGAGCGTTGTCCAATCCTTGTAAGCAAAGCTTGACCACGGATCGAATTTAAATCAGATTGTCAGCTGCAGACAGGTAAAAGGTTTTCTCTTTTTACTCTACTATGCCAACATTATTGTTACTAATTATTGTAACATTTTGCTATTGTATTTAAAGGTGAAACTAGGTTATAACGAAGTATCTATGATAGTTATACATGTATATATATATATCACTTTATATATTACTTGTTTGCAGTAATTCAATCTATGCCAAAGTAAAAAGTACAAATATAGCTACATAATATAATACAACGTAATTGATTGTTGTCAGCTTAATGTCCAGTGATAACAGTACAGATATAGCTACATAAAATAATACAATGTAATCGATTGTTGTCAGCTTAATGTCTAGTCACAATTTTTTTTATCTGTATCAAAGACAAGAAAATTGATTAAAGTATATTAATAAATTTTAAACACCTTTGACATGTGTTATGTAAATGAGAATATCTTTACAACAACAATTAGTAACCATAACTTTAAATATCATTTTAAACTTTTCACCTCAATACTATTATTATAAGATTATCACAATAGACATAGATTAGGCTATTGGTTTTCATTTTTGAATTGTTTCACATTTTATCATGCTAGGGACTGGTATGGCTTGCTTTAAATAGGTTTTGCTCATTGTTGAAGGCCATGCAGTGACCTGTAGTTGCATCAATCCACATTCTTTGGTCTCTGATGGAGAGTTGTCTCATTAGTAATCCTACCACATATTCTTATTTATATATTCATCGGATACAATGTAAACACTGTAGTAGCACTACATATTCTTTGGGGGTTTTAATTGCATGTTCCCTTTTTAAAATGCTCCATTTATAGCCGGCATTTAGAAAATACATTCTTTATTACTGCCATCACAGAAAGCCACCAAGCATGACACTGTACCATAATATAAATCTATTTAAATATACATGCATGTGCATTTTACTCAAATTTCCTAACTTCAGTTTAACAAAATATTGTTCTTATAAATTTTGAAAAATCAATGACATATGATATGGATTTAAGCTAAAAAAATAACCCACATAAGTTTAAAGATAATATTAAGTTGAGAAATTTTTAGAGGTGGATATCATGACATGACATATATATCTATTTAAGTGAAATGATTTATTCAATCAATATCTATTGTGGTCTAATTTACTGAGTACAAATATAGTAACACCCATTTTCACAACAGACATTTCTTACATGATAAATTTTTATTTTTCTAGTAAATTTGAAAATTCCTGGATGATGACCTGTTTTTTTAACGTAAAATGGATGTATTGTGTGAATACAACTGTTGTCTTTTAACAAATAATGTTTATTCAATTTGTAAATTTTCTGTTTTGTTTAATATGATCAAGTCAGGAAAAATGTGGGGATGTCTACTTTGATAATTTTTAAAAGTTTTTGGGCACAGCAATATCTAAACTTACTTTTAATACAAATAACTTTTAAATAATTACTTAGGATGGTTAAATAAATTTTAGAATTGAACCTTTTAATTATCTATAGTAATGCTTATATGGTTATTTCAAATGACTATTTTTTGATAAATTCAGGTTTAGATAAAGATGGTTTTCCAACTAAGGACAGAATAACAATAAATTTATTTGGAGACATCTTCTCTTCTTCCTACACAATAGATATGACAGTAACTGATTCTCAATAAGAAGTATTTGGATATTTTTTAAATAATTTACATATTGGGATACAAAATTTTGACTACCAAAAATGAGAATGCTATGTGTTAACATATGATAGTCTGCCTAACCACATCCATTTATTACCTTGTGACATTTTCAAAGCTGAAAATTTTCAAAATTCTGTTACAGGCTGAACAAATGAAATAAAGTACTGGTGGGACTGGGACATTATTCTTTATCTTGATCTCATTACTTATCAAAAAAAAAATTTCAGTATACAACTACCAATTGAAAGTATGTAATTGTTTGCAAGGATCATTCCCTTTCCCTGTTGTATTTCTTTAACAGTCATGCATAAATGGTACCACTACCAATTCAAAACTCCTTTTTAGCTAATCCTGCAGTCCTTGAAATCCTCAAGTCATAAAATCTTTGTAATGCATTTAAATGATTTTTATTTTGTACAGTTACTTATTAAGTTGAGTTTCTTTCCTTAAAATCTATAACAATAAAAATAATAGTTCTAGAAAGGCAGACGGCTTTCTTAAAAATTTAGTATTTAGAGTTTGAGAGATTTATCCTGTCAATTTTTTCTACATGTAAAAATATAACACAGTTAAAAAATTGTTGGCTTTGTCTATATACATGATATGAATAAAATGCTCTGCTGGGCGCAGCTTGATACGACCGCAGAGGTCGAACCCTGAACAGTTGGGGCAAGTATGGACACAACATTCAAGCTTGATACAGCACTGAATTTGGATTGTGATTAAATATTTGACACAGCACAGGTTTCTGACACAGAATGAATGTGGTCTAAGAACTTAAATTTTTTTAATTTACCTATTCAAACCGTATCATTATTATTTGCTTTTATATATAAATCAGAAATAAACAATTTAAAATGGAAAATTTTACAGAAAAAAAAAAGGAAAAAAAAGGGAAAAAAATCCTTCCCCCAAATTTTTTGAACCCCCTTATGATTCATCACCCCCAAACTCAATCCCAGCCTTCCCTTTGTGGTATGGTACCTTGCAGTACAATTTCAGAGAGATCCATACACTTGAATACAAGTTATTGTCTGGAAACTAGAGAAATGTTTGTTTTTTGGCCCCTTTTTGGCCCCAAATTCCTAAAATTTTAGGGCAATTACCCCCAAACTCAAACCAAGCTTTCCCTTTGTGGAATGGAACCTTGTAGTATAATTTCATAAAGATCCATACACTTACACACAAGTTAATGTCCTGAAACTAGAAAAATGCTTGTTTTTTGCTCCTTTTTGGCCCCTAATTCCTAAAATTTTGAGGCAATTACCCCCAAAATCAATCCCAGCCTTCCCTTTGTGGTATGGTACCTTGCAGTACAATTTCAGAGAGATCCATACACTTGAACACAAGTTATTGTCTGGAAACAAGAAAAATGCTTATTTTTGGCCCCTTATTCCTAAAATTTTGAGGCAATTACCCCCAAAATCAATCCCAGCATTCCCTTTGTGATATGGAACCTTGCGGTACAATGCCAGAGAGATCCATATACTAACACACAAGTTATGTCTGGAAGTTACAAAAATGCTTATTTTTGGCCCCTTTTTGGCCCCTAAAACCTTAACTGTTGGTACCATAACCCCCAAACTCCATCCCTACCTTCCTTTTGTGGTATTGAACCTTATGGTAAAATTTCATAGAGATCCATTCACTTAAACTAAAGTTAGAGTGGGAAAACCAATGTGTCTTCGGACAACGACGACGACGCTAACGTCATACCAATATACGACCGCAAAATTTTTTTGCGGTCGTATAAAAATATAACAATTATCATTCTAAATGTCTAATTCAGTCAAAATCTAAACATACCTGGCATTCTTTCTGGATGTGGCCGTAGAGGACTAGTGGCCTGAAAAATAGAAAAATATTGTTGCTTAATATCAAAATGAAAACAGTTTTAAACATAATATAATGAAGTTCACTGTGACAAAATATTACATATCCGTTAGCCTCTTAACATGGCTGATAGATTGTAACTTGTTGTCCAGGATGAATTTTGTACTGAAATATGATTGTTCTCGTACAACATTAAAAAAATAATCTATCTTTCACAATATGTTTTAACACCTCATTCTGCATACTGATTTTTTTCTTTAAGAAAATTTTACTTGCTAAACAGTGTGATGAAACAGGTTTTGTCTAATTTTCAAGGAATTTTTATTTGAAAACAAAAGTGATTAATATAAGACTATTGATTTTATCATCACTATAAAATCTTGTATTGAATGAAAAACAATGAAAGGCAAGCTTACTGGCAATTACTTTATTGTCTCAACAGAATTAAAAAAAAAAATATCAATGTTCCATGCATGACTTGTTGTTTGAGGTTTAATGAATTTATGCTGTTTGATCAATGAAGACATCATATTAAGACTTCAAGGAAAAAAATAATTCTAATCACTATTTCTAAAAGTATCCAAATCTGTCCTATATAATACATAACATCAGCAAAACAATTCTAAAGTTTGTTTTTACAAATGTCTCCCTCTGTTTTTCTTCACCCTGAGGGAGAATTTGTTCTGACAATTTCCCAAATATGCAAATGGCAAAGTTTATTATTTGCAATAAGAAGACCCGAAAAAAATCCTCCTATCCAAAAACACAAGTTGAACACAAGTTGACAACCCATTGAAGATTTTTTGAAAGTTTTGATGAAATAAATCATAATAAGTCACTTGTATATGAAATGCTGCAGCTACGAGATGCTGATTAAACAAATAAATAGCTGCACCATGAGTGCATGAAACGCCCATCGCTTTTTCAACGAACAAAAAAATTACTCCTCAATGTTATATCAGAAATTTATAAAAAAAACTTACGGTAGCTTATTTTAATAGATATAAACCAGTCACCAAAATTTCATGAAAACTGCTCAAATCATTTTTGAGTTATTGTCCGAAAACTAGAAAATCCCCCTTTTTGTATAAATAAAATCCCATAACTTAGAAACATAAAATCTAAATTATAAAAATCGAAAGGGAGCTTAAGTCAATAGATATACACAATTCATCAAAGTTTCATGAAAATTGGTTAAAAATGTTTTTGAGGTATTGTCCAATATGTTGACGACAGAAGGTATACCATAATAAAAAACATTTGGACAGACTAAAACAATGCTCATTTTACCCTTCCTATAGAACAGCATGTGATATGATATAAATCTTCCAAGCTTTGTTCTACTGTTGATTTTCATTGATAAACTGTAACTATATTAAGAGCAAACCACAAAATCAATCAAAAAACAAAACTTAAGAGATTCACTTCAACTAAGCACTGTTGGATATAATACTGGTAAGTTTTGATCCTATGTTATTGTTAAAGAATTTGATGTGAAAGGCATATCAAGAAATCCATGTCACAATAAACTAGAGTCAATATCCCTATCCAGGCATTATTTCATAAAATTTATACAATGCAAAAAGAAATATTTGTTTTAAATCAAAACTGTGTGGTGTACAATCTTTTCTTGATGATAATTTTTGCTGGAGTTTCTTTAAATCAAATATAGTTTTCTAGATAACAGCCAAAACTGAAATAATGGGTAAAAATTTTAATTTATGAGCACACAATCCTGTTATGAGTCAATTGAAGACTTCAACCATAAGTTAAATGAGGATCTTAAGTTGCTGATTTTTTTTTTGCTATTAAAAGTTGCAAGATATTAAGGTAAAACACTTAAACTGGTCAAAGACCATCATTTAATGGCAATAACTCTCATAAAGGAGTTGATCCAGGATTTCAGCAATGTTGACATATTTGTTGATTTCTAATTTGCAAATCATTTCTGACAACAAAAAAATACCGTAGTAAAAAGAAAAATCATCATTCAAGGGAAACAACCCCTATAAGGATACATGTATGTTTTAATAAAACAGCTTATAAACAAATTTATCTAGATTTAAAAAAAATAAAATTATCGACCTGCAAACATTTACATGATGATGAAAAACAGATGAATGTGGGCTCAGGACGTTTGTGCTTTTTTTACTGTAACACAAAGGACATTTGCTCTCTAACACTATGGACATTTGCTCTCTAAACTATGATACATCTGAACTAAATTGACCAGACATTTGCACTTTTTACCTTTGATAGTTTCCCTGTAATCTTAACCAAATTAAACTAATACATAGAAAGATGTTCACATATTCTTTGACAGTTCATCTGAACAAAAGACAAAATCAGAAAAGAATTATTTGGGTAAATCATAGAGAAAACAATGTTTTTATAGATGGAACATTTAAATTTTGCCCTAAATTCCTCAAGCAGCTTCATACAAAATGTGGATTTAAAATTGGAAACTATATTTTATTGCGTGGATATGCTGTGAAACTGTACCGTCATGATTTATTTAGTAAGCTTATTTAAATTTGTGAAGACCGAGATTTGATTTTTTTAACCACCTGCTGTTTCTGTTGTCTTTAAGAAAGAGTCATGGTTGTTTTATGGAATTTACTTCCATTTGTCATCTTGAAGTCTGACACAAGCATGACGGTGAAAATTTTAAAGTCTTTTATCTGTATATAAATATATGAATGTATTGTGTTTTTGATATTAAATGATCTTTTAAACTTTTAACCATAATAAAACTCAAATGCTGTGTTAATAAAGCCCAAATGTCCTATTGAAATGCACAAATGTTCTTTTTTAAAATGCAAATGTCCTAAATATTAAAGCGCAAATGTCCTATCAAAAAGCAAAATCGTCCCGCACTGAAAGCAGTTTAAACTTTTATGATTTCACTATGCCATCCAAGAAACTGCTAATGACTAAAGGCAGATTGAATGTGAATGACAAATTATTCTCAAATATGTCAAATAATAGTATTAGTCTATCTGTGCATTTCAAATTTATATAACAACTAGCTGTGGTATTATATAAGTGCATAATATTTCTAGATTCCAAACATTTTAAGTTAAAACAAAAAAATGTAGAAATAAAAGAGATATAGTTATACCATGATAAAGTGATGTTGATGTATTTATTAAAGTTCCATTAACATGATAAATTTTCATACAATTCCATTGCTATCCTTCTTAGGAAATATATGCTGAGAATCTAATTAAGTCAATATATCCAAAATACTAGTGAAAAAGAAAATTAGATTCTTTAACCAGTTTTGCCATTCATTACTTTCATACACCCTTGTTTATTAACTGTAATACTTTACTTATATACACCCTTGTTTATTAACTGTAATACTTTACTTTCATACATCCTTGTGTATTAACTGTAATACTTTACTTTCATACACCCTTGTGTATTAACTGTAATACTTTACTTATATACATCCTTGTTTATTGACTGTAATACTTTACTTTCATACACCCTTGTTTATTAACTGTTATACTTTACTTATATACACCCTTGTTTATTAACTGTAATACTTTACTTATATACACCCTTGTTTATTAACTGTAATACTTCACTTTCATACATCCTTGTTTATTAACTGTAATACTTTACTTTCATACACCCTTGTGTATTAACTGTAATACTTTACTTATATACACCCTTGTGTATTAACTGTAATACTTTACTTATATACACCCTTGTGTATTAACTGTAATACTTTACTTTCATACACCCTTGTTTATTAACTGTAATACTTTACTTATATACACCCTTGTGTATTAACTGTAATACTTTACTTATATACACCCTTGTGTATTAACTGTAATACTTTACTTATATACACCCTTGTGTATTAACTGTAATACTTTACTTATATACACCCTTGTGTATTAACTGTAATACTTTATACTTTACTTATATACACCCTTGTTTATTAACTGTTATACTTTACTTTCATACACCCTTGTGTATTAACTGTAATACTTTACTTTCATACACCCTTGTTTATTAACTGTAATACTTTACTTTCATACATCCTTGTTTATTAACTGTAATACTTTACTTATATACACCCTTGTTTATTGACTGTAATACTTTACTTATATACACCCTTGTTTATTGACTGTAATACTTTACTTATATACACCCTTGTTTATTAACTGTAATACTTTACTTCTATACACCCTTGTTTATTAACTGTAATACTTTACTTATATACATCCTTGTGTATTAACTGTAATACTTTACTTTCATACACCCTTGTGTATTAACTGTAATACTTTACTTTCATACATCCTTGTTTATTAACTGTAATACTTTACTTATATACACCCTTGTGTATTAACTGTAATACTTTACTTTCATACATCCTTGTTTATTAACTGTAATACTTTACTTATATACATCCTTGTTTATCAACTGTAATACTTTACTTATATACACCCTTGTTTATTAACTGTAATAATTTACATATATACACCCTTGTTTATTAACTGTAATACTTTACTTTCATACACCCTTGTGTATCAACTGTAATACTTTACTTATATACACCCTTGTTTATTAACTGTAATAATTTACATATATACACCCTTGTTTATTAACTGTAATACTTTACTTATATACACCCTTGTGTATTAACTGTAATACTTTACTTTCATACACCCTTGTTTATTAACTGTATTACTTTACTTTCATACACCCTTGTTTATGAACTGCAATACTATACTTATATACACCCTTGTTTATTAACTGTAATACTTACTTATATACACCCTTGTTTATTAACTGTAATACTTTACTTTCATACACCCTTGTTTATTAACTGTAATACTTTACTTATATACACCCTTGTTTATTAACTGTAATACTTTACTTATATACACCCTTGTGTATTAACTGTAATACTTTACTTATATACACCCTTGTTTATTAACTGTAATACTTTACTTATATACACCCTTGTTTATTAACTGTATTACTTTACTTTCATAC